TAGCCGAATGGGTAGGAAGCACAAGTAAGCAGTCCTGAACAACAGTTTTTACGGGGGCTATTACAACGGGCATGCGCTGCTACTAAATAGTACCGAGGTGTTGTCTGTGATCACGCATCCCCTGCACCCCCTGGTGTCATACATGGAGATGTAAAGCTGCGTATCATTAGTGTAGCTGTGGAAGTTGATTCCGTGTCTCCTGATGACACTGCCAAGAGGGAGCATGTACAGGTTAAAAAGCACAGGGCCTAAAATCGAACCCTGGGGTACACCACATTTGATTTTATGGACTTTGGAGGTGCACATGTCTACACTTACCGTGAATGTCCTGTCTGTCAGGTAGGAGGCGAACCACATGTGACCAGCACCTGAAAGGCCAAGGTGTTTCAGGCGGTTTAAAAGAATAGTGTCGTCTACTGTATCAAAGGCACCACTAAGATCCAGAACCAACACTGTCACTGCTCCAATGATTATTGTATCCAAGTACTTCTCAGCGTCCTGGATCTGGTACAAAGTTGAAATTCTCTGCTCCAGCTCACAGATTTTTCTTTTAAAATCAGCGCAGCTTTAACAGCCAGGCAAGAGGGTGAGTGGAGCCATGGCCCCTTGGGTGTTCAGTACTTGGTTATACAAGAATATTAAGATCAAGTGAGCCAAAAAACAAGAAAGAAAGTCCTCCCAGACACAAGAAACGGTTAAAAATTAAAAGTATCTAAAAATCTGATAAAACAGATACTTAAAACCGGTTAAAATCTGCTAAAATGTAGCCAAGTGGTAGAGTAGCCTGGAGGATTTCAAACAACAAGCTGACGCACGCGCACCATGAAAAAAACTTTACAACTTTATTCTCATAAATGAATGACTTTATTCTCCTAAATTCACGACTTTGATCTCAAAGTCTTCAAAAATTCTCAATTTAACCCTAATATTCCTTTATACAAAATATGCAATCATGAGATGAATTTTGTGGAAATGATCTGTGCTTGTATGTACGTATTGTTTTATGTCCATGCAAGGTTGCATAGTTAAAAAATAACTGCTGCACTCTGCGGTTTTTCTTCAAGTCAGTTGTGACGCGAGCCTAAGGGTGGGGACATTTGGCGACTCAACCAGGAAGTCCTCCGAAGGGTAGACCGTCTCAATTCACAAAGAACCGGACCATCTCACCCAGGATCCTCAAGTCCACATAACAGCAGTGCGCTCAGCCTTATGCAGTCTCTGAAATGAGACACATGCTGCGTCTAAATTGCCCGCTCGCGTACCACATACTACTGCTACATACTACTGCTAGATCCTACTCCTACAAAAAAAACACGTTGGCCCAATTCAGACACACTAGACGAGCGGTGAGGAAAGACGATGGCTTTCCTCAGACGGTAAAAATCAACATCGTGGTCACTCGTGCCCGTCAAGTCCCTTGCAGTTTGATGCTCATCAGAGCGGCGGGACCCCTCCTCACGCTCATCGCTCTCCTTTTCGCAGTAGTGGTCATCATTCACAGACACTGTGTTATCTGGACGAATCGATGTCGGTGACGGTGAAGCAATCTCGGATTGAGATGCAGTAGCCATAACAAGACTGCTTCAGAGGACTTGTGACAAAAATGACGATCTCATAATGGCTGCTGCTATTCGCTAAATAAATCCCCTATTCAGAGACCCGAACACTGTTGCAACTGTACTGAAACCAAAGGTCAGTGTAATATGTGAATACGTTGACACCCAAATAATCTGCTGTTGCTTGAATCTCAACCTCTGTCGCACAACTTCCTAGAGAGCTGATTTTAGATGCGTCAATGTAGTCTGACACCGGGAGGTAACCCCTTCTCAGAATGTTGGTGTACGCAGCTTCATTGCTTTGCAAGTGATTGACTACAGCTTCTCTTATTCTTCCGTGATGGTGTTCAGTACCGCTCACAGCTACACTGACTGCCCTAAAGAAGCAATTCCCATCACTTTTAATCTTCACATTCTTACAAGGAGCTCCTAATTCACAGACATTCGTGAATTTGCTATACTGCTGTCTACAGTCTACCTTAAGCTTTCTGCACAGCAGTAATGCCACTGTTGCGATAATGGGGCTAAACTGTAGCTTTTTACCCTTGTCGCCACTAACAACCTCAATGTCCGGGTCCTCGCTGTTCATCATGCTCTCATGTCTTTTAAGCAGTTCCTGTGATATTTTCATCTTTGGAAAGTCATAAGTATTTCCTCTTCTGATGCAGTCCTGCCAGGCTGTCTCTCTGCCTCTAAAACTAGTCACCCCGGTTGTGGACAGTTCAACTGACTGCATCCCACGTCTCATGGGGTCACACTGCCCCCCCCCCCCCCTCCATATCTGTTACGCCCCAGTCTAGGGGTGCCTAGGGCACAATATGAGAAGGCCTCATCTTCCCCAAGTCCCAAGTAGCCACAAACCAGAAATTCAGTTAAATTTAAAGACAAGGATTTATTTACATAAATCAGCAAATGAACATTAGATATAAACAAATAACTAAGGCTGAGTGACTAGGCTTCAGGGTGGACTAAGGCCAAAACAGCAACCAAAAATGATCCTGTCTGTGGAGTAAGTACTAACCTAACCAAACAAAGGAAACAAATGACAAAAGACTTACCTCCCTAACTAAAATACACAGGAGAAAATAAGGTTAACAAAACTGGCAGTCCACCCCTACTACTCAAGGAAAACACTACAAAATACACAATGTTCTAAAGCTGCAAACAGTGTGGCCGGTTGGGAGAGGAGGAGGATGAGGAATGCCTGTAGCCCTGCAAATGGTGGCTGCCATCTTGGTTCCTCATAAAGCAGGTGTCAGCCAATCACTGTCCAGAACGTAGTCTAATCCACCAATGACCGCGTGGCTGTGGCACACACCTATTTGCATACAAGATTGAAAGAAAAAAAACCACATGGCACACACACACACAGCAGACACTCAACAAATTATGACCACAGTCATAACAATATCACAAAGGCATTGTAGGAGGAAACGTCGGGGATGTTGTGGAACACGACCAAGGGCCAGCGAGCCGTCATCCTTCTACAGCTGTAGGTTCCAATCACCTTGTCGAGGTTATCGACACCTCCTTTGCAGCGGTTGTAGTCTAGTATGATGACTGGCTTTCTGTCGCGGCGATCGGTAACTTCGGCCTCCATGTGCTTCGTGCTAACCAGCAGCACGTTTTTGTTTTTCTCGGGCACGTAAGAGACCGCGACAGTGGTCTACGTGAAGGCGAATTTCGACGAGAACACCGCTCTTCCCTTTGGCAAAAGCAGCACGAGCGGGAGCTCGGGCTTGTTTTTTCGAATTGTGCCGACCATGGTCATGTTCCTTTTCAGCAGCTGCTGCCCGAGTTCGTAAGAGGTGAAGAAATTGTCGCAGGTGACGTTGCGATCCCTCAGTCCCTCGGTGACATCGAGCACGACTCGCATGCCCAGGTTCTTTTCCGGGGCGTGGCCTGCTGCGCGTGGGCCCGGGTCTTCTTCTCCTCCTCCTCCTCCTCCTCCACCACCTGCAGCTGCATCTGTGGCCGTGGCCTTCCCCGTGTTCACTTGTATCTTCCAAGCGTAACTGGATTTAGAGTCGCACGCCACCCATGTCTTGATCCCGTATTTCGCTGGCTTGCTGGGAATATACTGCCGAAAGGGACAATGCCCTCTAAACGGAACCAGCTGTTCGTCCACCACTATCTCCGGCCCGGGGTTGTAGAAGGACGGCAGCCGCTCAGACCACGCGTCCCAGACCTCTCTTACGGCCGCCAGTTTGTCTGCCGCGCGTCTGGCGGGTCTCCTCTCTGTCTTCTGTTACCCATTCTTCTCCTTCATCTTCTTCCTCATCTCCATTTCTCCTTCTTCTTCTTCTTCTTTATGCTCTCCGTCCTCTTCTACCTCTCTTTCCATTTGCTCCTCTCTGTCTTCTGATATTATCATTTCTTCTTCTTTTCCTTCCTGTTCCCTGTTCGGTTGGTTACTTGCCTCATAATCCTCCTCCTCAGACACACCCTCTGCTTCTTCAGAGAATGCATTTGACAACATCTGTTGATTCAGATTTTCCTCTCTTCCTGCTCTCAGTCTAAACTCTCTCTCTCTCTCTTGTTCTGTCCTTCAGTCATGGTGTTTCATGTTTCAGTGTTTCTGCTTTTGCTGATGGATTCATGATTTTAAAACAATAAAGATTTTCTTGTGTTTATCATCAAACTGGTCGGATTTTTTACTGGCAGAGGTCGAATGAAAGATTTTGATTCTGATCTTATAACTGATCAAGTCAAACCTAAAATGTGATTTTCATCCTGCTCTTGTTAAGATGTTTAATGGCGTCCAGTTCAACATGGACAATGGTAGGATAGTATCCCCAGTTAGATGACCACCATATACAACAGGCTTTAAATTTGGGTTAAAGGATATGAAGTTCTTTGAGTAAGTTCACATCTGAGCAGATAACAATCTAACGTGGAGTTCCCCAAGGCTCCATCTGTGGACTCTTAGATTTTAACTGTCGACACGAGCCGAGATTGTAGAAAAGAACAAAATCAGTGACCTGAACTTCACAGATGAAATACAGCTCTACAGTGTTGTCAGGGGACCATGACCCTGTATCGGCTCTTTGAATGACCTTAGTGCTAATAATACTGTGGAAATGTACCTGCCTTACCACCAATGTTCACTCAGTAAAAATGAGTTATTTCTCAGGATAAGAAAATATCCTGGTACATTTATGATCATGGCTGTGTCCTTGCTTGTTCTAAATATATGCCGTTTTTTTGTGTGACTTTATAAAGTGTTTCAGGCAAAGGTCAACTAAAATATACTGTTTGATTTGGAGAGATTATCAGGTCAATTTTAGGCTTTAGCTGTAAAGGAGAACCAGAACTTGACAATGGGAAAGTGATTTCAGTGTGTGTGTGTGTGTGTGTGAGAGAGAGAGAGAGAGAGAGAGAGAGAGAGAGAGAGGCGGAGTTATTATTGCCGCCAGCTGGAGGAGGTTTTTGTACGACACTTTTTCACTGTGTAGGCATGAACTGATTGTTTATGAAGTTTTGATTCTGACAGTGATAAACTGCTTCTCCTCCTCCTCCTCCTCCTCCTCCACCACCTGCAGCTGCATCTGTGGCCGTGGCCTTCCCTGTGTTCACTTGCATCTTCCAAGCGTAACTGGATTTAGAGTCGCACGCCACCCATGTCTTGATCCCGTATTTCGCTGGCTTGCTGGGAATATACTGCCGAAAGGGACAACGCCCTCTAAACGGAACCAGCTGTTCGTCCACCACTATCTCCGGCCCGGGGTTGTAGAAGGACGGCAGCCGCTCAGACCACGCGTCCCAGACCTCTCTTACGGCCGCCAGTTTGTCTGCCGCGCGTCTGGCGGGTCTCCTCTCTGTCTTCTGTTACCCATTCCTCTCCTTCCTCTTCTTCCTCATCTTCTTCTTCTCCTTCTTCTTCTTCTTCTTTATGCTCTCCGTCCTCTTCTACCTCTCTTTCCATTTGCTCCTCTCTGTCTTCTGATATTATCATTTCTTCTTCTTTTCCTTCCTGTTCCCTGTTCGGTTGGTTACTTGCCTCATAATCCTCCTCCTCAGACACACCCTCTGCTTCTTCATCGGGATTGGCATCATCAGAGAATGCATTTGACAACATCTGTTGCATGACCTGCAAAGCGGTAAACTCTCGACTCATGGCTGCAGCGCAGTATTGTTTTATTTTTTCATTGTTATTGTAGTTGTTGTTTTAGTAGTTATTGTTGTAATGCGATGTAATGTAATGTAATAGGACAAGGATTGGTAGTAGTACAAGTTTTATGCAGGTGTAGTACGGTTTTACGGAGATGTTACTAAACTTGCTATAAACTTGATCTATTCAGACACACGCTGCACTGTTCTTTTGGCAATTGGGAATTGCAGTAAACATTGTTTTTTTTTAATCTTATTTGTATAGCACTTTATTCTTTTACAAAAAACAAAACATATAGTCTCATTGGTGTTCAGACAGCATCCTAACAATATTTTCCGCCCTTGAACCCACACATCAACAGAGGAAAAGTAATATGAAATATTGCAAACAGTTTGGTCTCTTTATTTCTTTCATCATCCCTTACAGGATCATATATTCATACACACACACACACACACACACACACACACACACACACACACACACACACACACACACACACACACACACACACACACACATATATATATATATGTATCCATGAAGGTCCATGGATATATCCGTGTATGTGTGTGTGTATGTATATATACAGTCGAGGTTAGAAGTTTACATACACTAAAGCAAAAACTATTCAAGACAGCTTTAACCCAACTTGCCACCCCAGTTTGAATGAAGGCACTTTTTTTTCACCTCAGTTAGATTTTTAGTTGATTTCCCCAAATGAATACACACACACACACACACACACACACACACACACACACACACACACACACACACACACACATATATATATATATATATATATATATATATATGTATAAACCTTAACACAGACAGATTGAAACACATAATCATACAGGAGCTAGTACAGTCAGTGACATCGAGTCCACATTTTGTGAAGTCTTTGTGTCAGAGGCTAAATATGAGGAGAGGGGACACGTCATCTCAGAACCACGAATTCGTTCTTCTCTATCGCCGAACCAGCCGCTCACCTTCCTGACTGAACTGTGCAAAGTAAAACGCAACCGGTTCAGTGGAAGAGAAGAACAGACACGTTGGCTTAGAGATGACATGACAACTCCAACGCTCTCCCCCCCAACCTCTGCTGACTATACAACAGCACTTTGGTGTTTTACAACTGACAGAGTGATAGAGACTTTTTTGACTTCATATGGAGTGCCGACTCGTGCCTCTGGAGCCCAGGCGTTGTCCTCTTCCCTAAACCTCACCAAGCCTTGGACACTGCAGTAAGGAAAGGAAAAAAGGAGAAAAAAGTTGTGTGATAAGCAAGGCGTATTTTTTTTTATTTATTTATTTGTAAAGCACTTTTTATGTACAAACACTTTCTTTCTTTTGGTGTTCAGACATCTTTACAATATTTTCTGCTCTTAGAATTGAAAAATAAAACATACAAAAAAAAATCTGGGAAACCTTTGTGTGTCTTTCTCTCCTCTTTCCTCACAGTATGGCCAGTCATGCAGAGGGCGCTGTAAAACCAAAAAGAGAAACTTGCACAGGCAGTGTGGAACACACCCACACACACGCACGCACGCACGCACGCACGCACGCACGCACGCACGCACGCACACACGCACACACACACACACACACACACACACACACACACACACAGAGTCAGCACAGTCAGTGATATCGAGTCCACATTTTGTAAAGTCTTTGTGTCAGAGGCTAAATATGAGGAGTGGGGACACGTCATCTCAGAACCACGAATTCGTTCTTCTCTATCGCCGAACCAGCCGCTCACCTTCCTGACTGAACTGTGCAAAGTAAAACGCAACTGGTTTAGTGGAAGAGACACGTTGGCTTAGAGATGACATGACAACTCTGATGCTCTTCCCCCCAACCTCTGCTGACTATACAACTGCACTTCCACGTTGGCTTATAGATGACATGACAACTCCGACACTCTCCAACCTCTGCCGATTATACAATTCAAACTTACAGTATTTTCTGCTCTTAGAAATAAAAATAAAATTAAAAAAAATCTGGGAAACCTTTGTCTCTTTCTTTCTTTCTTTCTTTCTTTCTTTCTTTCTTTCTTTCTTTCTTTCTTTCTTTCTCTCTCTCTCGGTCTGTCCCTCACAGGATGGCCAGTCATGCAGAGGGCACTGTAAACAAAAAACAAAGAAAAAAAAGGAAACAATTGGTTTTGATTGATGGCTGGCAGTGTAGTCCGATTGGCAATTGAGTAAAGAACCAATGCCAGGAAGCACTGGAGCATGCTGCTGCTCATGCAAACTCACTCTCTATGGAAATGCTCAGATTAACTCCAACAGGGCCTTAGATTATAGACATGATGATGATGATGATGTTCAATAATGGATCGATCAATTCATCTCCTGATTGATCAAACAGCTTTCCTGACTTGTAGCATGAAGGTTTAGGTCTGTTCTTCTTCATCCATCTATTTGGAGAGATTTCTTCAGTCCTAGCCCGAAGCTGAGGACAATGAATGTCAACTATTCAGTAAATCAATAAAGATCTTTTAAAACTGGATTCATTCAAATGGACTACATTGAATTCTCTGCTTTCCTTTGAGCTCAAAGCTCTTGCAGACAGAGACACATTTAGGTGACTTTGTTTGTGTCAGAGTCAGAGAGCCGTGTCTCTGTACAGTCAGAGGTTTTTGTACGGCGCCTCAATGACTTTGTATCACTGTGGTGGACTTTTGGTGGAGGAACCAGACTGGATGTTGGAAGTAAGTCAAATATAAAGTCTTTTTCTTTTGAGTCAGTCATTTTTGTTTCTGATTTCTTCTTTTGAAAGACTGAAGGAAAAATATTTGCGTTTCTTTTTCTTTTTGCATGTTTTAGAGCGAGTGAAACTTTAGGGATCCAGGTGTCAGTTAGAAACTAAAACTGTATAAAAACTCCAATTAAATCTGAGTCCATGAAATAATGAAGTGTTTCTAATGTTGGTATTCAGTTGGATCCTGAGGGCTGGTAGGTTTAGTTCAGTCAGAGTCAGAGAGCCGTGTCTCTCTACAGTCAGAGGTTTTTGTACGGCGCCTCAATGACTTTGTATCACTGTGGTGGACTTTTGGTGGAGGAACCAGACTGGATGTTGGAAGTAAGTCAAATATAAAGTCTTTTTCTTTTGAGTCAGTCATTATTGTTTCTGATTTCTCCTTTTGAAAGACTGAAGGACAAATATTCGGGTTTCTTTTTCTTTTTGCATGTTTTAGAGCGAGTGAAACTTGAGGGATCCAGGTGTCAGTTAGAAACTAAAACTGTATAAAAACTCCAATTAAATCTGAGTCCATGAAATAATGAAGTGTTTCTAATGTTGGTATTCAGTTGGATCTTGAGGGCTGGTAGGTTTAGTTCAGTCAGAGTCAGAGAGCCGTGTCTCTCTACAGTCAGAGGTTTTTGTACGGCGCCTCAATGACTTTGTATCACTGTGGTGGACTTTTGGTGGAGGAACCAGACTGGATGTTGGAAGTAAGTTTCTATTTTAATGTCAAATCTTTCAGTTCAACATAGTGTATAAATTCTTATTTGAAACAGAACTTTTTCTGTTGAATTTGGACATTTTGATTTGATCTTTTTTTATTGATCACTGTTGTTTCTTCACACGGAGGTTCATTCAGGACAGTTACACTGAACAGTTTTTCACACAGTCTGGTCATAAAATGTCAAAATTCTGACCGACTTGAATGTTGAATTTTATTTTTACTAAAATTTTTCACTTTTTTGAAATTCATTTAAACTCATTTTCTAAAACTGCATTTTGAACTCTTGATGATATTGATCTGATTTGGACGTTTGAAGATTTCCAACCCAGTGTCGACATAAAAACCATGAAGGAAAAAGAAGAACATCTCTGATCTCTTGATGTCTTTTTAAATGAGACTCTTTTGAACTCGACTGGTGAGGATTTCAACTCACATGATGAACATTAGATCGTCTTATTGATCAATCGATTGATTGATTGATGAGTATTGATATGTATTTCCTCAGAATAGTCAAAAGTGTAATGTTTGAATGGTCTGATAGTGTTTGTGTTATTTCAGTGATTTTCAGTGGGGTTAGTCAGTGTGTGAGTGTCTCTGTGCTGATGTGCATGAGAGGTTTCTTAAAGGGAAGTGAAAGTCCATGAAGAAGAAAATCAACGTTCAACATGAAAGCTGTCCCAGTGTCTGCTGTTTGATTGACAGCTGTGTGCTCCCTGTCCTCTAAGCTGATTGGTGTCTCCTAGGTGATTCCCCTCCCAAACTGACGGTGCTGCCCCCCTCCAAAGACGAGCTGGAGCAGCAGCAGCAGCAGGGCAAGGCCACGCTCATGTGCCTGGCCAACAAGGGCTTCCCCTCAGACTGGACTCTGGTCTGGAAGGTGGACGGCAGCAGCAGCAGCAGCTGGGAGGAGAGCAGGAGCCCTGCGGTGCTGGAGAAGGACGGTAAATACACCTGGAGCAGCACCCTGAGGCTCCCTGCAGACCAGTGGGACAAGGTGGTCTCTGTGACCTGTGAGGCCACCCAGGGCTCCCAGAATCCGGTCTCTTATACCCTGAGGAGAGACGAGTGTTCCCAGTAGTGATCTGATTCACTGGGACCCTGATTCAGTTTTTCCTCTCTTCCTGCTCTCAGTCTAAACTCTCTCTCTCTCTCTCTCTCTCTCTCTCTCTCTCTCTCTCTCTGGTTCTGTCCTTCAGTCATGGTGTTTCATGTTTCAGTGTTTCTGCTTTTGCTGATGGATTCATGATTTTAAAACAATAAAGATTTTCTCGTGTTTATCATCAAACTGGTCGGATTTTTTACTGGCAGAGGTCGAATGAAAGATTTTGATTCTGATCTTATAACTGATCAAGTCAAACCTAAAATGTGATTTTCATCCTGCTCTGGTTAAGAAGATTAATGGTGTCCAGTTCAATGGTAGGATAGTATCCCCAGTTAGATGACCACCATATACAACAGGCTTTAAATTTGGATATGAAGTTCTTTGAGTAAGTTCACATCTGAGCAGATAACAATCTAACGTGGAGTTCCCCAAGGCTCCATCTGTGGACTCTTAGATTTTAACTGTCGACACGAGCCGGGATTGTAGAAAAGAACAAAATCGGTGACCTGAACTTCACAGATGAAATACAGCTCTACAGTGTTGTCAGGGGACCATGACCCTGTATCGGCTCTTTGAATGACCTTAGTGCTAATAATACTGTGGAAATGTACCTGCCTTACCACCAATGTTCACTCAGTACAAATGAGTTATTTCTCAGGATAAGAAAATATCCTGGTACATTTATGATCATGGCTGTGTCCTTGCTTGTTCTAAATATATGCCGTTTTTTTGTGTGACTTTATAAAGTGTTTCAGGCAAAGGTCAACTAAAATATACTGTTTGATTTGGAGAGATTATTAGGTCAATTTTAGGCTTTAGCTGTAAAGGAGAACCAGAACTTGACAACAGGAAAGTGATTTCAGTGTGTGTGTGTGTGTGTGAGAGAGAGAGAGAGAGAGAGAGAGAGAGAGGCGGAGTTATTATTGCCGCCAGCTGGAGGAGGTTTTTGTACGACACTTTTTCACTGTGTAGGCATGAACTGATTGTTTATGAAGTTTTGATTCTGGCAGTGATAAACTGCTGCATCTTCAGTCTGGACTTCACTGATGGTCAGAGCAAAGTTAGAGTGTGATCCAGTGCCTGTAAAACGACTTGATATCCCTGTAACTCGAGTTGTTGCATAGTAAAAAAGCATTTTGGGAGGTTCTCCATCCTTCTGTTGGTACCAAGCAAACTCATGATGTTGGCCTGTGAAGTAAACATCCTGACTAACTCTACATGGGATGGTGACAGTTCCTCCCGGAGCAGAGCTCACAGCTGCAGGCTGAGTCACTGTGATCTTTCCTCTGGACTCTGAGGATACAGAGACAAACACAGAAAGCAGCGTCATGGTTTTGTGGGCTTCATTTCAGAGGGACGGATGTTCATAGAGGAGAGGAGTTGGATTCTCTGGACTTTACCTGTGAAGCAGCAGCAGAGGAGAGTCCAGATGAGGACGCAGATCACAGTCATGTTTCTGATCAGGAGGAGGAGGAGGAGGATTTCTGTGTCTTCTGCTGTGATGAAGGACAGCTGTCAGTCATCCAGTCTTCAACTCTCAGGACTATAAAGTCTCCCAGAGCACTGGAGCATGCTGCTGCTCATGCAAACTCACTCTCTGTGGAAATTTGTAGAACTGAAACTTGTCTGCAGTCATACCTGAGCAGTGATGCTGGTCTGTTTCCACGGTAACTCAGCTATGAGAGAAAATTTTTGAGACCAGTTTCATCTTCTCTGATAAAGACCAGCAGATGTGCTTCAGTCTCTGTTACAGGACACAGATGAACTCACCTGACACAAACTTTAGTCCAGCAGCACCGACCTCACTTTTCTCACTTTTCTGGATCGTTCATCAATCAGGGAAGTTGTGAAACACTGACTGTGCTCATATTTCTAAAATCATCTTTTCATTTGAACCTCCATTTCAAATAATAAGGCACAGTTATTAAAGTGGTGCTTTTATTCTGAAGGCCAATGTGTTCACAGGAATGGCTCTTCTCAGTGATGGACCAGAGTGATCACAGAGAGTTTGGGATTTCTTCTCCTTCGTCGACTCTTGGACTGGTTGTCACTGAAATTAAAAAGAGAAGAAGAGTCTTAGTTTGAGGAAATGTCCGGGTTTACGGATCTTAGAGAGTTATTCAGGCGACGGCTGTTGACTGCAGCTCACAGACACCTCCATGAAGGATCAACATCGTCCTGCTTTGAAGAGGAGCTCCGGAGGCAGAAGAAACAGCTGAAAGTGATGTTAGGCCCTGAAATAAAGCTGCAGAGAGCAGGTCCGTGTTCTTCTCTCTGTTTACTGTAGATGTTAACCTGTAACTAACCTTCAAAATGCTCAAACGACAGTCAGGAAACATGAAAAACTGTTTTCATCATCAGAATAATCATAGAAATAGAGAAAAGAGACAGTGAGAGAAGACAGAAAAAATACAATAATAACAATTAAAGAGTTTTAAATGAAGATAATGAACTCTGCAGTCTGATTTCCTCAGGTAGTTTGTTCTAGAGAGTGGGGGCCCTGATAGAAAAGCCTGGGCCCCCCTGGTCCTCAGCCTGGATTCGGGGACAGTCATCAGCATTATGTTTTCTAAATTAAGGCTGCACGATTTTAGAAAACACAAACACTTCAATTTTTTCAAACCTGTGATATACATTGCGATATAAAAAAAATAGATGAATTTTCACCAGATGACCTGAATATCACTTTATGCTGAAATCTTGAGGACAGTTACCCTGCACTGATCTTACCTCTTTTTGTGAATGTTAGTAGAATGGCTTCTGTCTGTCTCAGAGATCTTTTTAGCTTTTATTGTGCTGGGACGTTATTGTGGCAACTGATGAAAGGCACTGCTGACACAGAACAGGTGTTTGGTGACGTCAGCCTTTCTGTAACCGAAATAATTACAGATAAGTGACGTTGCTGTTCTTTTTTCCAACAAGTATTGATCTTCAAGGGTAAGTGACGTTGCATTTCTTTTTGTCAACATGTACTGATCTTTGGCGGTTTTCTCTAGTTCGTTTCTCATTTTACAATCGTTGATGTTGTTTCCGTGTCCACCGAGGATTGTATGAAACTCGCAGAAACGCGCACCGCTTATAGTAGAGTGGTCCATGGAAATGTACAATTTAAAACCCATACAGTTCTTATCTGTGGGGCTAAACAGTGATGAGGAATGTTCCCAAAGAAATTCTGAGCGGACACGCGTTTCTCGGTATTTATATATATATTTTGGACTAGATTTTTGGCCCAAGTTCAAACTGAGAAGAACTTGATGTTGTTTATCAATATTATGTCCCCATGAGGCCTGAAAAAAAAAAAAACAAATTCTTATTCTCTCAAAAAGTGGAGCTTTGATCAGTTATTAGATCAGGGTATCAGGATATTGAGGTGTATAAAACACTGTCATCTGTAAAAAAAGCAGATTTATTGAGAGGGAACTGAGTTTAATGTGAGGGATGTTGGTACAATGTTGACTAGACTAAACTAAATATCTAACTGATATGTAAACATCTATGATAAAAAAAGTTTAATTATTATTCCTTTTAATGTGTGTGTGTGAACCTCCAGCTGCAGCCGTCAGTTCAGTTTCACTTCAGTCTGACTGAGGGAGGTTTTTGTACGACGCTTTTTCACTGTGTGAACAGATACAGACTGTTGATGTAGTGTCGACTCTGACAGTAGTAAACTGCTGCATCTTCAGTCTGGACTCCACTGATGGTCAGAGTGAAACTAGATCCAGATCCACTGCCTGAAAAACGACTTGATATCCCTGATAACAGCTGATTAGCATATTTAATGAGCAGTTTAGGAGTTTCTCCATCCTTCTGTTGGTACCAGGATAAGTAGTTATTGCTCTCCACATTTTGACTAGCCGTACATGGAATGCTGACGGTTCCTCCCGGAGCAGAGGTCACTGCTGCAGGCTGAGTCAGTGTGACCTGTCCTCTGGACTCTGAGGATACAGAGACAAACACAGAAAGCAGCGTCATGGTTTTGTGGGCTTCATTTCAGAGGGATGGATGTTCATAGAGGAGAGGAGTTGGATTCTCTGGACTTTACCTGTGAAGCAGCAGCAGAGGAGAGTCCAGATGAGGACGCAGATCACAGTCATGTTTCTGATCAGGAGGAGGAGGAGGAGGATTTCTGTGTCTTCTGTTGTGATGAAGGACAGCTGTCAGTCATCCAGTCTTCAACTCTCAGGACTATAAAGTCTCCCAGAGCACTGGAGCATGCTGCTGCTCATGCAAACTCACCCTCTATGGAAATGACTCCTATGAATGGACAAATGCACTCATCAACTCTGCTGCAGGTGTTGTGTCATGTTATGTTCAGGAAAGAAGGAGAGCTGAAAGAGGACACAAGTTTAGTCCAAAGGTGTTTTTAGAGGAGAGAGAGCTCCTGTCTATGAAGGCCTTAGTTTCTGGAGTGGACCATCTCCATCAGTCTGAGGGTCACCTGATCCACTACACAGAGAGAGAGATGAAGAAAGAGCTTCAATAAACTTCAGCACAAGAGGTCACTACAGCTGACTACAGTTGAGAAGATGAAACTGATCTCAGCTCTTTCACTTCCCTCTTACTCCAGTAACCATGGCAACAGACAGGCATCGCTGCTCAACCATGACTACAGACATGTTTCAGTGCTATAAAAGAAGTCCTTAGTGCCTCTGAAAACCATGAAAAATAATAAAGATTTAAGGTTTTCAATTTTATACACTTTGTCAAAATAAATTAAAACTTTCAAAGAAAAACAATTAGCCGACATATTGTTGTGAAAAAGTTTGGAGCTTTTTTAAAGAATTACTTCAGGCAGAAAACCTTTAAAAAAGTTATTATCAAATTCAAAAAAGTTCCTGGATTTATTTTAAAGTTTGGCCAGTTAACTTGGAAAATAATTCAGTCCAATTAACCCACAGAATGAATGTTTTCAACTGAGACATACGAACTGATGTTGTAAACTGAGGTCCCGTTGTAAGTAAGCAGGTGTTGTGGCAATGAAACTCTTTTTAATCAATGAGCTTAATGACAAAAGAAGTTTATTGATCTGATGATAGGAGTCATTTCCATAGAGAGTGAGTTTGCATGAGCAGCAGCATGCTCCAGTGCTCTGGGAGACTTTATAGTCCTGAGAGTTGAAGACTGGATGACTGACAGCTGTCCTTCAGATTAACTCCAACAGGGCCTTAGATTATAGACATGATGATGATGATGATGTTCAATAATGGATTAATCAATTCATCTCCTGATTGATCAAACAGCTTTCCTGACTTGTATCATGAAGGTTTAGGTTTGTTCTTCTTCATCCATCTATTTGGAGAGATTTCTACAGTCTTAGCCCGATGCTGAGGACAATGAATGTCAACTATTCAATAAATCAATAAAGATCTTCAAAAACTGGATTCATTCAAATGAGACTCTTTTGAACCCGACTGGTGAGGATTTCAACTCACATGAAGAACATTAGATCATCTTATTGATCGATTGATTGACTGATGAGTATTGATATGTATTTCCTCAGAATAGTCAAAAGTGTAATGTTTGAATGGTCTGATAGTGTTTGTGTTATTTCAGTGATTTTCAGTGGGGTTAGTCAGTGTGTGAGTGTCTCTGTGCTGATGTGCATGAGAGGTTTCTTAAAGGGAAGTGAAAGTCCATGAAGAAGAAAATCAACGTTCAACATGAAAGCTGTCCCAGTGTCTGCTGTTTGATTGACAGCTGTGTGCTCCCTGTCCTCTAAGCTGATTGGTGTCTCCTAGGTGATTCCCCTCCCAAACTGACGGTGCTGCCCCCCTCCAAAGACGAGCTGGAGCACAGGCAGGGCAAGGCCAGGCTCATGTGCCTGGCCAACAAGGGCTTCCCCTCAGACTGGACTCTGGTCTGGAAGGTGGACGGCAGCAGCAGCAGCAGCTGGGAGGAGAGCAGGAGCCCTGCGGTGCTGGAGAAGGACGGTAAATACACCTGGAGCAGCACCCTGAGGCTCCCTGCAGACCAGTGGGACAAGGTGGTCTCTGTGACCTGTGAGGCCACCCAGGGCTCCCAGACTCCGGTCTCAAAGACCCTGAGGAGAGACGAGTGTTCCCAGTAGTGATCTGATTCACTGGAACCCTGATTCAGTTTTTCCTCTCTTCCTGCTCTCAGTCTAAACTCTCTCTCTCTCTCTCTCTCTCTCTCTCTCTCTCTCTCTCTTTCTTCGTCTCTTCTCAAACATGTTTTTCCTTTTTCTCTCTTTGATCGTTTCAGAAGTTTAACTCAATAAAAACATTACATTAAAGTCAGCTCTGTGTGGTTTTCCTCCTCATTTATTTCATTATAAAATTATAAGTCAGACATGATCCCCAAAGAAAAACAAAAATATAATTTACTTTAGTTTTTCAGACCTTATTAAAACGTAAATGTGGTTCATGGTTGGTCCAGGTTAAAAGAAATAAACAAACACTCCATAAGCTAACTGTAAATCCAGTATGATTTCATTCAACAATAGAAACCAGCCGATAATCTCACTGAAGTCTGCTGGTGATGTTTCATCTGATGTGAGGTCTTAAAACTGAGAGAAAAAGTGATGATAGTTCAGATCTTTGAGCTTTGTCACACTTTTAGGTCAACAAAGAAGAGCGGGATATCATCAGCATACGGTGATATCATGTGTTTACAATTGAAGATAAGAGTTCAGTGATTTTAATGGAAAATAATGAAGAGAATGAAACATAAAATAATAATTTCATTTTGGTGGGATGAATCTTTTCTGTGGTGAAACAACATTAAATATCTCAAATAGATGTAGAGTGTTCAAACTTTTATCTAAATGATGATTTTACACATTTTCTATAGTCAGTATTCACTCTTAGTGCTCTGTTTTATTCTGTGTCTCTGTCACTGTGCAGATGTTCAGTCTGATCACTTCCTCTTTAGCTGAGGAGGTTTTTGTACGACGCTTTTTCACTGTGTGAACGGTGTGCTGTAATCCTGCTGACAGTAATAAACTCCTGCGTCTTCAGTCTGGACTCCATTGATGGTCAAAGTAAAGTCTGTCCCAGATCCAGATCCACTTAAACGATCAGGAACTCCAGACTGACGGTTTGTAGCCTGATAAATCAGGAGTTTAGGAGCTTCTCCAGGTTTCTGAAGATACCAGTCTTGTTCAGTACCCACAGATGTACTGGCTTTACATCTGAGAGAAACCGTCTGTCCTGGAACAACAGCTACAGCTCCAGGAGACTGAGTCATGGTGATATCTCCAGATGAACCTGAAAAACATGAAGAAAAGAAGAAGAGTTCCTGAGACAGACCCAGCAGATTGTAGACTGTAAATTCAGCTTTTTTCAGGGTTTTTAAATCACAGCAGAACATCACTGAGGTCAACCTGGAGACGTCTGAAAACAAGTTTTCAGCAGTGATCCTCACCGTGAATGAGGAGCCCCAGGGCGGCCACCACTACAATAAGTAACTCCATCATTGTGTTCTGGACGTGTCCGTGTCTCTGAAGGGTCTGGACAACCACCCATGAACTCTGACCTCTTAAGAGCTGAGAGCAGAGAGGAAGGACACATATGCAAACACTCAGAGTCAGTCATCTGAAACTGTCCTCTACATATGATTGGAGTTCCTCCCTAACAGCTTTGACAGCATGAAGGTTTCAGTCTCACATTCACTGATGATCCTTTGGCCTTCACTAAACAAGTGCAGCAACATGATCCTGAAGGTTCATGAAAACATGATTCAGTTTTTATTATTTCAGAGGATGTGAGTGAAAAAGTTTGAGCCTGAAAAACTTCTTTTTTTGTTATAGGGGGTACTGACAGTTTCATATAGAAAGACAATTCTTTGTGTTTGACTTGATTTTATGATAAATGTCTTGGTATAAATATCTGCTTTACTTGAACGGGTCATTTGAGTGTCTTCAAATGTTGCTGAAAGACCTTCAGAGTATTTTTAAAGAGAATAAGGTGTTTGAATGAATTAATGGTGGAATAGTGATCATGATCAAAACGAAGGGAGGGTTTGGTGACGTGTAACAGTGTGTGTGTGTGTGTGTGTGTGTGTTTGTGAACCTCCAGCTGCAGCCGTCAGTTCAGTTTCAGTTCAGTCTGACTGAGGGAGGTTTTTGTACGATGCTTTTTCACTGTGTGAACACAGCTTGACTGTTGATGTCATGATAACTCTGACAGTAGTAAACTGCTGCATCTTCAGTCTGGACTCCACTGATGGTCAGAGTGAAACTAGATCCAGATCCACTGCCTGAAAAACGACTTGATATCCCTGATTGTCGACTGTTAGCACGATAAATTAGCAGATTAGGAGTTTCTCCATCCTTCTGTTGGTACCAGGATAAGTAGTCATTATTATACACATTCTGACTGACACTACAGCTGATTTGTGCGTTTCCTCCTGGAGCAGAGCTCACAGCTGCAGGCTGAGTCAGTGTGACCTGTCCTCTGGACTCTGAGGATACAGAGACAAACACAGAAAGCAGCGTCATGGTTTTGTGGGCTTCATTTCAGAGGGATGGATGTTCATAGAGGAGAGGAGTTGGATTCTCTGGACTTTACCTGTGAAGCAGCAGCAGAGGAGAGTCCAGATGAGGACGCAGATCACAGTCATGTTTCTGATCAGGAGGAGGAGGAGGAGGATTTCTGTGTCTTCTGTTGTGATGAAGGACAGCTGTCAGTCATCCAGTCTTCAACTCTCAGGACTATAAAGTCTCCCAGAGCACTGGAGCATGCTGCTGCTCATGCAAACTCACTCTCTGTGGAAATTTGTAGAACTGAAACTTGTCTGCAGTCATACCTGAGAAGTGATGCTGGTCTGTTTCCATGGTAACTCAGCTATGAGAGGAAATGTTTGAGACCAGTTTCATCTTCTCTGATAAAGACCAGCAGATGTGCTTCAGTCTCTGTTACAGGACACAGATGAACTCACCTGACACAAACTTTAGTCCAGCAGCACCAACCTCACTTTTCTCACTTTTCTGGATCGTTCATCAATCAGGGAAGTTGTGAAACACTGACTGTGCTCATATTTCTAAAATCATCTTTTCATTTGAACCTCCATTTCAAATAATAAGGCACAGTTATTAAAGTGGTGCTTTTATTCTGAAGGCCAATGTGTTGACAGGAATGGCTCTTCTCAGTGATGGACCAGAGTGATGACAGAGAGTTTGGGATTTCTTCTCCTTTGTCGACTCTTGGGCTTGTTGTCACTGAAATTAAAAAGAGACGAAGAGTCTTAGTTTGAGGAAATGTCCGGGTTTACGGATCTTAGAGAGTTATTCAGGTGACGGCTGTTGACTGCAGCTCACAGACACCTCCATGAAGGATCAACATCGTCCTGCTTTGAAGAGGAGCTCCGGAGGCAGAAGAAACAGCTGAAAGTGATGTTAACCCCTGAAATAAAGCTGCAGAGAGCAGGTCCGTGTTCTTCTCTCTGTTTACTGTAGATGTTGGCCTGCAACTAACCTTCAAAATGCTCAAACGACAGTCTGGAAACATGAAAAACGGTTTTCATCATCAGAATAATCATAGAAATACAGAAGAGAGACAGTGAGAGAAGACAGAAAAAATACAATAATAATAATTAATGAGTTTTAAATGAAGATAAGGAACCCTGCAGTCTGATTTCCTCAGGTAGTTTGTTCTAGAGAGTGGGGGCCCTGATAGAAAAGCCTGGGCCCCCCTGGTCCTCAGCCTGGATTCGGGGACAGTCATCAGCATTATGTTTTCCAAATTAAGGCTGTACGATTTGAGAAAACACAAACACTTCAATTTTTTCAAACCTGTGATATACAATGCAATATAAAAAAATAGATGAATTTTCACCAGATGACCTGAATATCACTTTATGCTGAAATCTTGAGGACAGTTACCCTGCACTGATCTTACCTCTTTTTGTGAATGTTAGTAGAATGGCTTCTGTCTGTCTCAGAGATCTTTTTAGCTTTTATTGTGCTGGGACGTTATTGTGGCAACTGATGAAATGCACTGCTGACACAGAACAGGTGTTTGGTGACGTCAGCCTTTCTGTAACCGAAATAATTACAGATAAGTGACGTTGCTGTTCTTTTTTTCCAACAAGTATTGATCTTCAAGGGTAAGTGACGTTGCATTTCTTTTTGTCAACATGTACTGATCTTTGGCGGTTTTCTCTAGTTCGTTTCTCAATTTGCAATCATTGACGTTGTTTCCGTGTCCACCGAGGATTGTATGAAACCGGCAGAAACGCGCACCGCTTATAGTAGAGTGGTCCACGGAAATGTACAATTTAAAACCCATACAGTTCTTATTTGTGGGGCTAAACAGTGATGAGGAATGTTCCCAAAGAAATTCTAAGCGGACACGCGTTTCTCGGCAAATCTACGCTAGCTTCCGCGACTAGCTCCATGTACAGGACATGTGCATGGGCGTGGTTTCCTCCTCTCTGATTTTGATTGACGGCTGGCAGTGTAGTCCGATTGGCAACTGAGTAAAGAACGAATGTGATTGGTGGATTGCTGCATGACACATGCAGAGTCTCATGCAGTGTATCTCAGTCATCTACCCTTGCAAGGCTCTGCAATGTCACTATCACGACAAATACATCGCGATGACGATGCTCAAACGATATATCGTGCAGCCTTCTTCCAAATTAGTTAAAAATACATGTAAACCATGTTTAATGTATAAACAGACATTTAAATTCCTTTATGTCATCTTTCACTCAGTAAAAAAATTTCCTGTACACAATATTTAACACAAACTCATGTTTCTTTGGTGTCTCCTTGTGTTTCTTCAGTGTTTCCTTTTTACATCCAGCAGCTGATTATGAAAGCAGAGTCTCCTGAGCAGAAGTGGAGCTCCACTCTGGACCAGGACAATGTCAAACCTCCGCAGATCAAAAGGAAACATGAGGAATTTTGGAGCAGTCAGGAGGAGCCGCCTCAAGGACTGGAGGAGGCTGATACCACTGAGATCCCTTTGACTCCATACGAGGAGAAACCTCGGTTCTTACAGCTTCATCACAGACTGACTGAACAGACGGACACACAGGCTGATGAGAAGGACTCTGGAGGTTCAGAACAAGCCAGGAACTTGGATGCAGAAAGACATTTATATAGTACACTAATATAATAATATGTTCTGGAGTTCAAACTGAGAAGAACTTGATGTTGTTTTTTAATATTATGTCCCCATGAGGCCTGAAAAAAAATCACTCTTATTGTCTCAAAAAGTGGAGCTTTGATCAGTTATTAGATCAGGGTATCAGGATATTGAGGTGTATAAAACACTGTCATCTGTAAAAAAGCAGATTTAATGAGAGGGAACTGAGTTTAATGTGAGGAAAGTTGGTACAATGTTGACCAGACTAAACTAAATATTTAATATGTTAACATTTAAGATAAAGTGAAATTATTATTCCTTTTTATGTGTATGTGTGTGTGTGTGTGTGTGTGTGTGTGCGGAACCTCCAGCTGCAGCCGTCAGTTCAGTTTCAGTTCAGTCTGACTGAGGGAGGTTTTTGTACAACGCTTTTTCACTGTGTGAACAGATACAGACTGTTGATGTAGTGTTCAGGAAGACAGTAGTAAACTGCTGCATCTTCAGTCTGGACTCCACTGATGGTCAGAGAGAAACTAGATCCAGATCCACTGCCTGAAAAACGATTTGATATCCCTGATACTCGAGTGCTAGCATAATAAATGAGCATTTTAGGAGTTTCTCCATCCTTCTGTTGGTACCAGGCTAAGTAGTTATTGCCATTCACATTCTGACTGGTTAAACATGAGATGGTGACTGTCCCTCCCAGAGCAGAGCTCACAGCTGCAGGCTGAGTCAGTGTGACCTGTCCTCTGGACTCTGAGGATACAGAGACAAACACAGAAAGCAGCGTCATGGTTTTGTGGGCTTCATTTCAGAGGGACGGATGTTCATAGAGGAGAGGAGTTGGATTCTCTGGACTTTACCTGTGAAGCAGCAGCAGAGGAGAGTCCAGATGAAGATGCAGATCACAGTCATGTTTCCGATCAGGAGGAGGAGGAGGATTTCTGTGTCTTCTGTTGTGATGAAGGACAGCTGTCAGTCATCCAGTCTTCAACTCTCAGGACTATAAAGTCTCTCAGAGCACTGGAGCATGCTGCTGCTCATGCAAACTCACTCTCTATGGAAATGCTCAGATTAACTCCAACACGGCCTTAGATTATACACTTGATGATGATGAAGATGTTCAATAATGGATCAATCAATTCATCTCCTGATTGATCAAACAGCTTTCCTGACTTGTATCATGAAGGTTTAGGTTTGTTCTTCTTCATCCATCTATTTGGAGAGATTTCTTCAGTCCTAGCCCGATGCTGAGGACAATGAATGTCAACTATTCAGTAAATCAATAAAGATCTTTAAAAACTGGATTCATTCAAATGGACTACATTGAATTCTCTGCTTTCATTGGAGCTCAAAGCTCTTGCAGACAGAGACACATTTAGGTGACTTTGTTTGTGTCAGAGTCAGAGAGCCGTGTCTCTCTACAGTCAGAGGTTTTTGTACGGCGCCTCAATGACTTTGTATCACTGTGGTACACGTTCGGTGGAGGAACCAGACTGGATCTTGGAAGTAAGTCAAATATAAAGTCTTTTTCTTTTGAGTCAGTCATTTTTGTTTCTGATTTCTTCTTTTGAAAGACTGAAGGAAAAATATTCGCGTTTCTTTTTCTTTTTGCATGTTTTAGAGCGAGTGAAACTTTAGGGATCCAGGTGTCAGTTAGAAACTAAAACTGTATAAAAACTCCAATTAAATCTGAGTCCATGAAATAATGAAGTGTTTCTAATGTTGGTATTCAGTTGGATCCTGAGGGCTGGTAGGTTTAGTTCAGTCAGAGTCAGAGAGCCGTGTCTCTCTACAGTCAGAGGTTTTTGTACGGCGCCTCAATGACTTTGTATCACTGTGGTGGACTTTTGGTGGAGGAACCAGACTGCATGTTGGAAGTAAGTTTCTATTTTAATGTCAAATCTTTCAGTTCAACATAGTGTATAAATTCTTATTTGAAACAGAACTTTTTCTGTTGAATTTGGACATTTTGATTTGATCTTTTTTTATTGATCACTGTTGTTTCTTCACACGGAGGTTCATTCAGGACAGTTACACTGAACAGTTTTTCACACAGTCTGGTCATAAAATGTCAAAATTCTGATCGACTTGAAGGTTGAATTTTATTTTGAGAAAAATTTTTCACTTTTTTGAAATTCATTTAAACTCATTTTCTAAAACTGCATTTTGAACTCTTGATGATATTGATCTGATTTGGACGTTTGAAGATTTCCAACCCAGTGTCGACATAAAAACCATGAAGGAAAAAGAAGAACATCTCTGATCTCTTGATGTCTTTTTAAATGAGACTCTTTTGAACTCGACTGGTGAGGATTTCAACTCACATGAAGAACATTAGATCGTCTGACTGATCGATTGACTGACTGATGAGTATTGATATGTATTTCCTCAGAATAGTCAAAAGTGTAATGTTTGAATGGTCTGATAGTGTTTGTGTTATTTCAGTGATTTTCAGTGGGGTTAGTCAGTGTGTGAGTGTCTCTGTGCTGATGTGCATGAGAGGTTTCTTAAAGGGAAGTGAAAGTCCATGAAGAAGAAAATCAACGTTCAACTTGAAAGCTGTCCCAGTGTCTGCTGTTTGATTGACAGCTGTGTGCTCCCTGTCCTCTAAGCTGATTGGTGTCTCCTAGGTGATTCCCCTCCCAAACTGACGGTGCTGCCCCCCTCCAAAGACGAGCTGGAGCACAGGCAGGGGAAGGCCACGCTCATGTGCCTGGCCAACAAGGGCTTCCCCTCAGACTGGACTCTGGTCTGGAAGGTGGACGGCAGCAGCAGCAGCAGCTGGGAGGAGAGCAGGAGCCCTGCGGTGCTGGAGAAGGATGGTAAATACACCTGGAGCAGCACCCTGAGGCTCCCTGCAGACCAGTGGGACAAGCTGGTCTCTGTGACCTGTGTGGCCACCCGGGGCTCCCAGACTCCAGTCTTACAGACCCTGAGGAGAGACGAGTGTTCCCATTAGTGATCTGATTCACTGGGACCCTGATTCAGTTTTTCCTCTCTTCCTGCTCTCAGTCTAAACTCTCTCTCTCTCTCTCTCTCTCTCTCTCTCTCTCTCTCTCTCTGGTTCTGTCCTTCATTCATGGTGTTTCATGTTTCAGTGTTTCTGCTTTAGCTGATGGATTCATGATTTTAAAACAATAAAGATTTTCTCGTGTTTATCATCAAACTGGTCGGATTTTTTACTGGCAGAGGTCGAATGAAAGATTTTGATCCTGATCTTATAACTGATCAAGTCAAACCTAAAATGTGATTTTCATCCTGCTCTGGTTAAGACGTTTAATGGTGTCCAGTTAGTATCCCCAGTTAGATGACCACCATATACAACAGGCTTTAAATTTGGGTTAAAGGATATGAAGTTCTTTGAGTAAGTTCACATCTGAGCAGATAACAATCTAACGTGGAGTTCCCCAAGGCTCCATCTGTGGACTCTTAGATTTTAACTGTCGACACGAGCCGGGATTGTAGAAAAGAACAAAATCAGTGACCTTAACTTCACAGATGAAATACAGCTCTACAGTGTTGTCAGGGGACCATGACCCTGTATCAGCTCTTTGAATGACCTTAGTGCTAATAATACTGTGGAAATGTACCTGCCTTACCACCAATGTTCACTCAGTACAAATGAGTTATTTCTCAGGATAAGAAAATATCCTGGTACATTTATGATCATGGCTGTGTCCGTGCTTGTTCTAAATATATGCAGTTTTTTTGTGTTACTTTTTAGTGTTTCAGGCAAAGGTCAACTAAAATATACTGTTTGATTTGGAGAGATTATGAGGTCAATTTTAGACTTTAGCTGTAAAGGAGAACCAGAACTTGACAACAGGAAAGTGATTTCAGTGTGTGTGTGTGTGTGTGTGTGTGTGTGTGAGAGAGAGAGAGGCGGAGTTATTATTGCCGGCAGCTGGAGGAGGTTTTTGTACGACGCTTTTTCACTGTGTAGGCATGAACTGATTGTTTATGAAGTTTTGATTCTGACAGTGATAAACTGCTGCATCTTCAGTCTGGACTTCACTGATGGTCAGAGCAAAGTTAGAGTGTGATCCAGTGCCTGTAAAACGACTTGATATCCCTGTAACTCGAGTTGTTGCATAGTAAAAAAGCATTTTGGGAGTTTCTCCATCCTTCTGTTGGTACCAAGCAAACTCATGATGTTGGCCTGTGAAGTAAACATCCTGACTAACTCTACATGGGATGGTGACAGTTCCTCCCAGAGCAGAGCTAACAGCTGCAGGCTGAGTCACTGTGATCTTTCCTCTGGACTCTGAGGATACAGAGACAAACACAGAAAGCAGCGTCATGGTTTTGTGGGCTTCATTTCAGAGGGACGGATGTTCATAGAGGAGAGGAGTTGGATTCTCTGGACTTTACCTGTGAAGCAGCAGCAGAGGAGAGTCCAGATGAGGACGCAGATCACAGTCATGTTTCTGATCAGGAGGAGGAGGAGGAGGATTTCTGTGTCTTCTGTTGTGATGAAGGACAGCTGTCAGTCATCCAGTCTTCAACTCTCAGGACTATAAAGTCTCCCAGAGCACTGGAGCATGCTGCTGCTCATGCAAACTCACTCTCTGTGGAAATTTGTAGAACTGAAACTTGTCTGCAGTCATACCTGAGCAGTGATGCTGGTCTGTTTCCACGGTAACTCAGCTATGAGAGAAAATGTTTGAGACCAGTTTCATCTTCTCTGATAAAGACCAGCAGATGTGCTTCAGTCTCTGTTACAGGACACAGATGAACTCACCTGACACAAACTTTAGTCCAGCAGCACCAACCTCACTTTTCAGGATTGTTTCAGGTTTTCTCACTTGTCATCTGACTCTCTAAGTCTCTTCTGTTTGTGTCTCCTGTTGACATCCTAATAAAGAAGAACCAGTGAGAGGTTTATAAAATACAATAAAACTGTCGAGAGTTAAAAGTCATGTTTAGTAAAGACACACTTATCAACATGAGTTTTAAATGAAGATAAGGAACCCTGCAGTCTGATTTCCTCAGGTAGTTTGTTCTAGAGAGTGGGGGCCCTGATAGAAAAGCCTGGGCCCCCCTGGTCCTCAGCCTGGATTCGGGGACAGTCATCAGCATTATGTTTTCTAAATTAAGGCTGCACAATTTTAGAAAACACAAACATTGCAATTTTTTCAATCCTGCGATATAGATTGCAATATTAAAAAAATAGAGACATTTTCACCAGATGACCTGAATATCACTTTATGCTGAAATCTTGAGGACAATTACCCTGCACTGATCTTACCTCTTTTTGTGAATGTTAGTAGAATGGCTTCTGTCTGTCTCAGAGATCTTTTTAGCTTTTATTGTGCTGGGACATTATTGTGGCAACTGATGAAAGGCACTGCTGACACAGAACAGGTGTTTGGTGACGTCAGCCTTTCTGTAACCGAAATAATTACAGGTAAGTGACGTTGCTGTTCTTTTTTTCCAACAAGTATTGATCTTCAAGGGCAAGTGACGTTGCTTCTCTTTTTATCAACAAGTATTCATCTTCAATGGTAAGTGACGTTCATGTTCTTTTTGTCAACAAATATTCATCTTCGGCGGTTTTCCCTTGTTTGTTTCTCATTTTACAATCGTTGATGTTGTTTCCTTGCCCGCCGAGGATTGTAGGCAGCTTGCAGAAACGCCCACTGCTTATAGTAGAGTGGTCCACGGAAATGTACAATTTAAAACCCATACAGTTCTTATTTGTGGGGCTAAACAGTGATGAGGAATGTTCCCAAAGAAATTCTGAACGGACATGCGTTTGTCGGCAAATCTACGCTAGCTTCAGCGACTAGCTCCATGTGCAGGACATGTGCATGGGCGTGGTTTCCTCCAGAGCAATGGATTAAAACAGAGTGGCGACAACTTCAGATCTCGCCGCCGGAGCGGTCACGTGATTCATGTTCCCCTCAATAGTTCCAAGCGTAGCCTGCACTGTCCATGCTCTTCAACGGGACAGACTGCAGTGAGCGCGCATTTGAGAGGTAAATATTAAAAATAGCCGTAAAAATTCAACATTTTCAACACTTATTGGATTACTGTGTACACGTCAAAGTCACGTACATATATTTAGTGGCTGGATGACAAAAGTGAAATAAGATAAATAAATAAATAATCAAAGTGAAATAAGACAAGTTTGTCTGGGTGTGTTTTTGGAGGGAAACTTTGCTAGCTTCACTAACTGGAGAATAAGGAACTAAATCGTAACCTAATGCAAAGCAATCTCTTATTTAGCAACATAAGGCTATTCTTGAACACTCTCTGACATTGGACAATGATGATATATGATGGTTTCATTCAGAGATTTTATGTGGGCAATTTAAATGAATGTCACAACCTCATGTGTGTGTGTATGTGTGTGTGAAAACAAGAAAAAAATCAATCAGAAAATATATGAGACGGCTCAAAATAAACTAATATTGTAAAACCAGAGGCCTGTTGCATAAAAATAGGATTAAGATATCCAGGATAAGTGACTGAGCTGTGCTCAACGAATCCAAAACAAGAGCGTCCGGGCTTATTCGGTCGCATAAACGCTAATCCAGGATGAGAAGAAACGGATTCATCAATTCATCCGCGATCGATCAGATTCACCTATTCACCATGACAACCAGAGACGCATACTTCTCCCTGTCGGAGCAGGATATATTTATGGAAGTGTATGAAGAGGTAAAAGATCAAATAAAAAAAAAAAAAGAAACACCGCCACTGCCATAAAACAGCGAAAATTGCAAACCGTCTGAATGCGTAAGTATTGCACAAATACACACTCACTATTCCTCTGAAACATCACAATTGCAATCCAAATAGTTAATTAACATCTCCAAAAACATAGTTGTAATCTACTCTGATTATGAAACAGTTGAAATTGCAAGTGAAAATGACTGCAGACTAGAAGAAATGCACATAATGTACCTGAAATGCAATGATGAAAAGTCATTCTGAAAAGTCATGTCTGCTTGTTTAATGTATGCACAGTTAGGGCTACCATAGATATGAGACTTGCCATTAAATCAGACTGTGGAATTGCCATCTGCCATCCTACCTAAGTGCTATGATTGGTTGGAAGTCAAACACTAATGATCAACTGTATTATTAAGACTAGAAGAAATGCACATAATGTATCTGAAATGCAATGATGAAAAGTGCTGATGGTTTACTTGCTTTGATTCATCCTTATTCAATAAAGGAACATCATGTTACTCTTTGTGTATTTTATTTGTATACATAGATTTAATAATAGCAAAATCATTTATCTAAAATGATTGCAATTAATGATCCCAAATGTTTAAATAATGACAGCGGGTGTAGTTAAATGTGATAACAATGTGTAGTGGGCAGTGGCATGAATATTAGTGTCCATTTGTGGTGACTGCTGACTGAGATAAGGGATAAGATTTAACAGATCCTGGAACTAGCAGGCTAGCTCCACAGAATAAGTCTCCATGGTAACTTATGTCATAACATATCCCACTTTCCCCTATCCTACTTTTATGCAACTGGATCATGGATAAATTGATCCAGGATAACCAACATATCCCGGCTTAATCCCTTATCCTACTTTTATGCAACAGGCCCCAGACGTATTTGTCATCAATAACGTGTATGCATGTATAATGTATGATTTAATGTCAATACAGGTGAGAGTGGGCTGTTACCACCAATGCTACTGGACAATCACAGATGCATACAAAACATTACATATAAACACATTTAATAGAATGTCAAATACAGGCAGCTATTACCACTTTCAAACACACATTTGGTCACTTGAAAATCAGTTGAAGCACTGGGCCACATTTTCCCACATTTCTACACTACAGCAGCAGTGAATAATAGAGAAGCTCTTCAGAATGTCCAGCATTGTTATGAAAGTAGTCATCTTTTCAGCTCTGATTTATAATGGAAGTCTCAGGGATGACTGTTAAGGGACATATTGTCCACTTTTACACAACATTTGAGGCTTGACAGCTAATTATCTTTACGTTTACCATTGTACAGTGTAGAGACCAGTGATGTTGGCTGTGCAGCATTTGGGTGCACCAACGGCTCAGAGTGGGGCCATCGAATGTATGGTTTCCCTAAAGAAAGGGAGAGGCAGAAGAGATGGCTGGCGATGGTCAGCAGACAAAATTTTGATGTCAAGGCTGGCAACTGCAACAGTAGAAAGATTTGTCAGGTAAATGTTTATAAATGTGATGTACAACAGTTTAAATTTCTATGGTCATTTTATTAGAGCAGACAGAACAACATTTCAATTCTATCTTGCGTATACATTTCACACTGATTTTAAAAGTCTCTCTGCAGGTGCATTTTGAGGACAGTCAATTTATTTGTACAAAAAAAGGACACCTCAGGTTAAGACCTGATGCCATACCCACCTTATTTTGCCATCGTCAAAGGCCAAAGAGAAGGAGAGCTCCCGAACGGCACACGTCCTCAACAGAGGTTCACCTGCCAAGCGATGACCACAACTACTGTACAAGAAATGATTTTGGTATGATACACAGTTGTCTCTACAGGCATCTTGATCTATTTGTAATGAAAAACTTGGATTTAAGGAATAGTTGGCCTTGATTTGACAAGGGTTGTGTTTGTTTCCCACAGTCAGTGTGGTTCAACAGCTGCGACTCACTGCCCACAGAGTCCTGTGAGCGCAGTTCTTTAGTTCTCAGTTTCAACTACATGGAACTACTTTCTGTAGCATCAAAACCTGTTCAGGACCACACTTATGGGACTCCTGGGGGGGTTGAGTAGCAGCTGATAAACCACACTGACTTTTGAAAACAAACAACACTAGTCAAATCAGGGCGAACTATCCCTTGAAACAGGACATGAAAGAAGGTGGTGATGTAAAGGAAGCAAATGCATAGTAACTGAAACAATACCATGTCATTATTGCAGAAAATGAGGCAGAAATTGAAGCGGAGCAAATAGGAGTAGGCAGCCCACAGGTAGACGTTGGTGAGGTCCTCGAAGCTCCAAAGGACAGTCAGTCAGGGGCAGCGAGTGAAGAAGCCACTGTGACAGGGGCAAGCGATCCAGGGACCAGTGATGACAGGGCAACTGTTGATGACCTAAGAGAGCAATTGAGGATTGAGACACTCCAAAGAAAGAGAGCAGAGAGGGCTCTTAAACAACAAAAGAAAATAAATTTGGGTTTAAGAAAGAAGAACAGTTTAATTCAAAAAAAGTTCAAGTAAATTTTTAACACAGACCAAATTCAGTCATTAGGAAGAGAGAAGACGAGAGGGATACGCTGGAGCAATCAGACCCTGAAAAAAGCCATACAAATTCGATTTACTGCTGGCACAACAGGCTACAAAACATTACAAAAAATGAAAATCCCACTACCTGACATTAGGACTACACAACGGAGGATGCAGCATGTTAAGATGGAGCCTGGAGTGTTGATGGAGGTGTTCAAAATGTTAAAGCTGAAGGCAGAGGGAATGAACAACATGGAAAGGGAATGTGTACTCACAATGGACGAGATGGCCATCACTCCAGGTGTGGAGCTGCATATGGGAACGGGGAGACTGTTTGGCAACGTAACACTTCCTGGTCACACAGGGCAAGCAACGCATGCCTGTGTGTTTATGCTCGCTGGTGTAACAACACGCTGGAAGCAAATTGTTGCTTACCACTACAGCGGTAATTCTACAGACGGCTCATCAGTGATGATCATTTCCATTGTAGAAGCTGCAGCATCTGTGGGGCTTCATGTCATAAATATCACCAGTGACATGGGGAGTCCCAATCAGGCAATGTGGAAGTCATTTGGGGTGACCCAGGATAAGCCATGGATACCCCATCCTGTTGAGCAACACAGGCGGCTCTTTTTCATGGCTGATGTTCCACATCTTGTCAAGAATTTGAGAAGTGCCCTCATCCGGGGTCAAACCATCACCATTCCACAAGATGTGGTGCACAAAGAGCAGCTGGTGTCCAGTGTCGTATCTGTTGATCCCCTAAAGGATCTTGTTTCCTTCCAGGAGAGCATGGAACTTAAACTGGCACCAAAACTGTCCCGTGCCATCCTTGAGCCTAACCATTTTGAAAAAATGAAGGTTAGTTCTGCGATGCATATTTTCAGCAAGGCAACGAGTGCTGCCCTGAGGTACCTTGTGGAGGAGGAGCAGCGACCACAATCCTACCTTGTGACATCATGGTTTTTGGAGAAGGTGGACCACTGGTATGACCTCATGTCTTCCCAGAATGTTGTTATTGCTCTCAGCCTGTTCAAAATGGAGGAGTATGAGAAAGCCATCCACTTTCTCCATGACAGCATCCACCTGTTTCGGGGCCTGAAGATCGGTCACCTGGGCCGCTGGAAACCAGTCCAGACAGGACTTGTGATGGCCACCAGAGTGATCCTGGAAGTCCAGCAAGACCTGTTGAGCAAAGGGCACAAATTTGTTCTCACAAGTCGATTTACACAGGACTGCCTGGAGAACACCTTTTCTTGCATTCGTCAGAGGAACCCTGTCCCAACACCAGCAGAGTTCCACTACACACTGCGAGCTGTCACTGTTGGACAGTTCCTCACCACAATACCTACCGGCAATTACTTTGATGACGGATCTGGGGCCTCATTTATAAAACCTGGCGTAGGATCCATACTAAAAGTGTACGTAAGTTGAAAAGCTGAAAAGTGCGTAGGCAAAAAAAAAATCTGATTTATAAAACCCTGCCTACGCACACCTGCACGCACTTTCCCTTTATAAATCACAGACCAGCCGGAAAGTTGCGCAGCAGGGATTTGATTCATGCCCCGCCCTCTCCACACCCAAAATTCACCATGTATGGTCATGCAAATTACCTCATGAATGTGATTTGCATATAAATAAGCCTGATGGATCCACGGCATTTCACGCTTAACCATGGCATCAGCAAGTCGTAGAAAAAGAAACTTTTCAGAGATCGAGGTGGAGGTTCTTGTAATTGAGGTGGCGGCGAGACGGGAGACCTTATTCGGCGGCCATTTGAGTGGCATCACCAATAAAAATACAGTTGCTGTGGCGGTAATTGCGGCTGGCACTGAGCGCAGCGTTGCCGAAACAGTGTTGTTTTCGTCATATTTCGTCAAATATTTTCGTCAACGCCAGCATCAAAAAAGGGAAATATTTTCGTCAACGAGAACAACACTGGTTGTTTTCGTTGACGAAAATATTTCCCTTTTCTCCCACGACGAAGACGTAACTTTGACGAGCTAAACATAAGTCAGAGATGACTAAAATGTGACGAGACGAAAGTACATTTACGTTGATGGGACGAGACGAAAATGACGAACAGAGTTGCAAAACTCAGTCAGTTCAACACTAAACATATAGGAGCAGCTTCAGTCCGCTCTGACAGCTCTCATCAGCCTGCTGTGCTCCTCCAACACACAAACACACACACGCGCGCGCGCACACATGTGGAGTTTTGTTTTCGTTGACGATGATGTTGACGAAAACAACACTGTGCCAACATCAAGAAGAAGTGGTCTGATCTAAAGGTGGAGGCAAAGTGGCTTTGCACCGTCGGAGCGTGGCGGCGACAGGTGAGGATCAGAAAAAACAAGCACGTGTGACACTCATCTGAAACTGCTCCATTATCCACCGCTGCTTATGTGGTGAAAGTTCGTAAACCAAAAAGATTTAGTCATTAATCTTAAAACAAATGCATGTAAATAGAATTTGTTTTTTTGCACATTTGTAAATTCAAATTGGCAAACTATCTACACCGCCACAGTGGGGTCTGTGCTTTCTGCGAGCATCACTGCCTGTTACAGCAGCTGCAGCTCTCAGGACAGAAAGGCTGCATCGAGTCATCCGTTGTGCTGAACGCATCACCCGGACTGTTCTCACCTTGCTCCGATTGTCTCCAAAAAGTGCGTAAGCAAGGTGTGGAGTTTGCTTAAAGTTGCGCACATTCCTACACTAGTTTTTCTTTTATAAATCCCAACTCTTGCGTAAGAAGTGGCGTAAGCACTTTCTAGCCAGGTTTTGTGCGTAAGCAAGCTTTATAAATGAGGCCCCTGACCATTTGGCAGACTTCCTGGATTCAAAAAGAAGCAGCTGCAGTCCTCCTCCAGTGGTGCGTCTTGAGCAGCTGGATGACCCAGCATCACCACCTGACTTCACAAAAACAGAGTCCTGTGTCCTCTACCACCTGGCAGGATACATTGTGAAGAGGGTCATCAGCTGCTCACTTTGTGAGGAATGCCAGAGGTTGAGAATTGCCTCTAAGTTCATCTCCGCTGCAAAAAAGAAAGACACACAGAAAGGGTGCTTTAGCAGCAAGAGCCAAAGCAAAAGGGGGAAAAAAAAACAGCTACATCTACTGCAACAATGGCAACGTCATCTAGGCCACTGCCAAGCTCCTTACTGGTTGCCATGGACGTATTCAGGCTTTCCATCCCTTCTCCACCACAAGCAGACTCCAGTAGTCCCTCGCTGCAGCAGCTGCGACCAGCCACTGGCAGCAGCCACCAGCCACCAGCCAACGGTGTCCACCCCTAGCCAACACCAGCTGCAGCTGTCAGAGGCAGCAGCAGGAGGAGGTGAACCTAGAGAACAACCTAAAAATGTCAACCTCATGTCAGTTTGTGTTAAGGGAGTAGGATAATAATTTACATTTCAATTTGCAGGTCAAGGAGAAGGTGGATTTAGCCTGATCTCATCCACCATCAGCAGACCCCAGTAGTCCTGTGCCACAGCCAGGTGCAAGCGGCAGCAGCAACCGCAAGCAGCCGAATCCAACGGAGCAGTTTTCAATGACCTCCTCTTTTGCCTGTTCAAAGTTCAAATAGATTAGATTTAATTAAAGGATGTTACAGTTGTTACTTTTTCACAAGAGAAAAATAATACAATAAATAATACAATAAAGTGGTAAGTAACAGGTGTTACAAGCTGTTTGAACAATTGTGCAATGTTTTGGTCTTGCAGCATGGCCTGCATAACATTTCTCCATGTTAAACTTACGCCTTAAATGCTGACAGAATTTAAAAAGTAGTAGTCCTTTTACTCTATCATCCCATGGTATACATAAGCAGAAATCAAATTACATAGCACTTATGTGAGTCTAAAAAGAATAAATTCCACATAACATTGGGTTCTGATAAAGACTGAATTGACATTTTACCTCAGTGAGTGTCTGTCTTGTGGCCACAGAAGCGAACGGCGTCCGATGTGACAGGCGGTCATGTTGGAACTAATAAGAGTTCCATAACCCGGAAGTGGGGTCCGCCGGGCTGTACAACGTATGCCTATGGGAGTGTCGCCACTCTGTTTTAATCCATAGCTCTGGTTTCCTCCTCTCTGATTTTGATTGATGGCTGGTAGTGTAGTCTGATTGGCAACTGAGTAAAGAACGAAAGTGATTGGTGGATCGCTGCACAGCACATGCAGAGTCACATGTAGTGTATCTCAGTCATCTACCCTCGGAAGGCTCTGTAATGTCACTATCACGAACACATACATCGCGATGACGATGCTCAAACGATATATCATGCAGCCTTCTTCCAAATGAGTTAGAAATAAATATAAATATATAGTATAATAAAATAATAATATATTCTGGAGTAGATTTTTGCTCCAAGTTCAAACCGAGAAGAACTTGATGTTGTTTATTAATATTATGTCCCCATGAGGCCTGAAAAAAATCAGATTCTTATTCTCTCAAAAAGTGGAGCTTTGATCAGCTTTTTGATCAGGGTATCAGGATATTGAGGTGTATAAAACACTCTCATCTGTAAAAAAGCAGATTGTTGACTAGACTAAACTAAACATCTAATTAATATGTTAACATCTACGATAAAAAAGTGAGATTATTATTCCTTTTTATGTGTGTGTGTGTGTGTGTGAACCTCCAGCTGCAGCCGTCAGTTCAGTTTCAGTTCAGTCTGACAGAGGGAGGTTTTTGTACGACGCTTTTTCACTGTGTGAACACAAACTGATTGTTGGGGTAGTGACCACTCTTACAGTAGTAAACTGCTGCATCTTCAGTCTGGACTCCACTGATGGTCAGAGTGAAACTAGATCCAGATCCACTGCCCGAAAAACGACTTGATATCCCTGATAACAGCTGATTTATATACCAAATGAGCAGTTTAGGAGATTCTCCATCCTTCTGTTGGTACCAGGCTAACCAGTTGCTATACACATTCTGATTGACACCACATGGGATGGTGACGGTTCCCCCGGCGCAGAGCTCACTGCTGCAGGCTGAGTCACTGTGTACTGTCCTCTGGACTCTGAGGATACAGAGACAAACACAGAAAGCATCGTCATGGTTTTGTGGGCTTCATTTCAGACGCACGGATGTTCATGGAGGAGAGGAGTTGGATTCTCTGGACTTTACCTGTGAAGCAGCAGCAGAGGAGAGTCCAGATGAGGACGCAGATCACAGTCATGTTTCTGATCAGGAGGAGGAGGAGGAGGATTTCTGTGTCTTCTGTTGTGATGAAGGACAGCTGTCAGTCATCCAGTCTTCAACTCTCAGGACTATAAAGTCTCCCAGAGCACTGGAGCATGCTGCTGCTCATGCAAACTCACTCTCTATGGAAATGCTCAGATTAACTCCAACACGGACTTAGATTATACACTTGATGATGATGAAGATGTTCAATAATGGATCAATCAATTCATCTCCTGATTGATCAAACAGCTTTCCTGACTTGTATCATGAAGGTTTAGGTTTGTTCTTCTTCATCCATCTATTTGGAGAGATTTCTTCAGTCCTAGCCCGATGCTGAGGACAATGAATGTCAACTATTCAGTAAATCAATAAAGATGTTTAAAAACTGGATTCATTCAAATGGACTACATTGAATTCTCTGCTTTCATTGGAGCTCAAAGCTCTTGCAGACAGAGACACATTTAGGTGACTTTGTTTGTGTCAGAGTCAGAGAGCCGTGTCTCTCTACAGTCAGAGGTTTTTGTACGGCGCCTCAATGACTTTGTATCACTGTGGTGGACTTTTGGTGGAGGAACCAGACTGGATGTTGGAAGTAAGTCAAATATAAAGTCTTTTTCTTTTGAGTCAGTCATTATTGTTTCTGATTTCTCCTTTTGAAAGACTGAAGGACAAATATTCGGGTTTCTTTTTCTTTTTGCATGTTTTAGAGCGAGTGAAACTTGAGGGATCCAGGTGTCAGTTAGAAACTAAAACTGTATAAAAACTCCAATTAAATCTGAGTCCATGAAATAATGAAATGTTTCTAATGTTGGTATTCAGTTGGATCCTGAGGGCTGGTAGGTTTAGTTCAGTCAGAGTCAGAGAGCTGTGTCTCTCTACAGTCAGAGGTTTTTGTACGGCGCCTCAATGACTTTGTATCACTGTGGTGGACTTTTGGTGGAGGAACCAGACTGGATGTTGGAAGTAAGTTTCTATTTTAATATCAAATCTTTCAGTTCAACATAGTGTATAAATTCTTATTTGAAACAGAACTTTTTCTGTTGAATTTGGACATTTTGATTTGATCTTTTTTTATTGATCACTGTTGTTTCTTCACACGGAGGTTCATTCAGGACAGTTACACTGAACAGTTTTTCACACAGTCTGGTAATAAAATGTCAAAATTCTGACCGACTTGAAGGTTGAATTTTATTTTGAGAAAAATTTTTCACTTTTTTGAAATTCATTTAAACTCATTTTCTAAAACTGCATTTTGAACTCTTGATGATATTGATCTGATTTGGACGTTTGAAGATTTCCAACCCAGTGTCGACATAAAAACCATGAAGGAAAAAGAAGAACATCTCTGATCTCTTGATGTCTTTTTAAATGAGACTCTTTTGAACTCGACTGGTGAGGATTTCAACTCACATGAAGAACATTAGATCGTCTTATTGATCAATTGATTGACTGATGAGTATTGATATGTATTTCCTCAGAATAGTCAAAAGTGTAATGTTTGAATGGTCTGATAGTGTTTGTGTTATTTCAGTGATTTTCAGTGGGGTTAGTCAGTGTGTGAGTGTCTCTGTGCTGATGTGCATGAGAGGTTTCTTAAAGGGAAGTGAAAGTCCATGAAGAAGAAAATCAACGTTCAACATGAAAGCTGTCCCAGTGTCTGCTGTTTGATTGACAGCTGTGTGCTCCCTGTCCTCTAAGCTGATTGGTGTCTCCTAGGTGATTCCCCTCCCAAACTGACGGTGCTGCCCCCCTCCAAAGATGAGCTGAAGCAGAGGCAGCAGCAGGGGACGGCCACGCTCATGTGCCTGGCCAACAAGGGCTTCCCCTCAGACTGGACTCTGGTCTGGAAGGTGGACGGCAGCAGCAGCAGCAGCTGGGAGGAGAGCAGGAGCCCTGCGGTGCTGGAGAAGGACGGTAAATACACCTGGAGCAGCACCCTGAGGCTCCCTGCAGACCAGTGGGACAAGGTGGTCTCTGTGACCTGTGAGGCCACCCAGGGCTCCCAGACTCCGGTCTCAAAGACCCTGAGGAGAGACGAGTGTTCCCAGTAGTGATCTGATTCACTGGGACCCTGATTCAGTTTTTCCTCTCTTCCTGCTCTCAGTCTAAACTCTCTCTCTCTCTCTCTGGTTCTGTCCTTCAGTCATGGTGTTTCATGTTTCGGTGTTTCTGCTTTTGCTGATGGATTCATGGTTTTAAAACAATAAAGATTTTCTTGTGTTTATCATCAAACTGGTCAGATTTTTTTTTATGTTTTATAATTTGTTAATTTTTCAAGCATTTAAGAAACAGTGAGATTGGACTCAATAGAGAGTAATGAGAGCTTTATTTCCTGTTTATGTCGGCAGAATTTACAGCCTCAGTTCTCATGACTGTCAGAATACATACATGCTCATAAATCAGCTTCATTGGTCCATTTCGTTTAGCAGCACTTATATCTTACTGCCTTGAATTTGGGCTGTACTATTTCATCATAAATAATGAGTTTATTTATTTTTTATTCTTATGCTGAAGAGATTTCATCACTTTACCAAAACATTTCCAGGAGATACTTGTAATAACACACTGTTGACTGTCCTGTGCTTCACTGATCAAGATTACAATCAATCAATCAATGAATCAACTTTATTTCTATAGCACATTTTAAAATAACCACAAGGGTAGCCAAAGTGATGTACAATGATACATTAAAAAAACAAATAACGCAAAGAGCAAGATAAAGTGAGCAGAAATACATTAATGCAAGGGGATAAATAAGTAAATAAATAAGCAGGCTCACGGGCAGGTGCTAAAATGATAAAAACATTGATACAAACATATTGTCAGGATATTAAGATAAACAAGAAGGAAAGGGCCGGAACGAAAATGATTTATTCAAAATGAACGAAATAAAAAGCAACAAAAACTTAATTTAAATGTCCGACAGAAAATTTTCAAAAAGGCAAAAAAACACAAAAGAGGCAAAAGCAACAAAAATCCAAGAAAATACACTGAGAGGAAAAAATCACAAGTAGACACTGGGGACATTGGTGCGCGCATGCAAGCACATGCACACGCACACACACACACACACACACACACACACACACACACACACACACACACACACACACACACACACACACACACACACACACACACACACACACAAAATGAACCAACAAGACAGAGGGGTAGACAAGGACTATATATACACACAGGGAAACGTGCAACAGGTGAGACACTGAGACAGGTGAGGACAATTACAGGAGGGAAAACAAGACTGGAAACACGAGGATGGACTACTACAAAATAAAACAGGAAACACTGAAAACTGATCTAAAGAATAAAACATTAAGAACAAGAGGGAAACAGAAACTGAAAACTCACAAAACTGGATTACAGGGGGACAGGGACACTAGGAAGCACAGGGGAAAACTAAATACCCAAACATATCATGACTCATAAAGTGTGTTATCATCTTGGGTGAACTGATAAACTGATCTCTTAGTATAATAATTGACCTCATTACTAATTCATATAAAATTCACTGATACTGGTGCCAACAGTCAGTTATAGAGTCGGTGGGAACTGTGCAGCAGTGTTTTGATAAAGGATGATTTATTTACACTTTCCAGACATCATGACAACAATCAAACCTCTGATGACCTCAGTTATCTTCACATTGATTCTGTTAATGTTACCCTGACTTTGTTATGATGATGATAATCAGAGGATACATCAGGCCTCACCAAAAACTAAACTGGATATAAAGTGTAAAATAATGCGGTCATTGTTCCTCCTCATTCGGCTCTTCATCTGTATCTGGACAGACTGACCTTTGTCAGGATGTGAGTGCTCAGTGCAGCTCTGTGCAGCAGAGATGCTGACAGCTAATCTCCACAATCAGATCCAAAACTTAAGAAACTTTTGGATCATTTTGACTCTTTATTGTTTCAGAGGATGTGAGTGAAAAAGTTTGAGCCTGAAAAACTTCTTTTTTTGTTATAGTAGATACTGACAGTTTCATATAGAAAGACAATTCTTTGTATTTGACTTGATTTTTTGATAAATGTCTTGGTATAAATATCTGCTTTACTTGAACGGGTCATTTGAGTGTCTTCAAATGTTGCTGAAAGACCTTCAGAGTATTTTTAAAGTGGATAAGGTGTTTGAATGAATTAATGGTGGAATAGTGATCATAATAATAATAATAATAATAATAATAATAATAATAATAATAATAATACATTTTATTTGTAAAGCGCTTTTCAAAAACACAAAGACGCTGTACAGAGTTAAGAAATAAAAACATACATCAATAAGTAATAAAATTTACGGGAATAAAATAAAAACATGTAGAATCAGGTAAAATCCAAATAACAATAAAACACGCATCAATAAGTAATAAAATTTACGACAATGTCAATAAAAACATGTAGAATCAGGTAAAATCCAATGGGGGGGGGGGGGGGGGGGGCTAGGAAGGATGAAAGGCAGTGCGGAAGAGGTGGGTTTTGAGAAGGGTCTTGAATCTGGTGAGGTCAGTGCAGTTTCTGAGTTCGAGTGGGAGTGAGTTCCAGAGGGTGGGGGCAGCGACTGAGAAGGCTATGTCCCCCCAGGTTCGGTGCTTGGTCAGGGGAACTGTGAGGAGGTTGGCATTGGCGGAGCGGAGGGTGCGGGAGGGGATGTAGGGGTGGAGAAGATCCTGTAGGTAGGGGGGGGCGAGGTTGTGGAGTGCTTTGTGGGTGAGGAGGAGGATTTTGTATTGAATGCGATGGGGTATGGGGAGCTAGTGAAGGTTTTGGAGGACGGGGGTGATGTGTTGATGGGAGCGTGTGTGGGTGAGGAGGCGGGCGGCTGAGTTCTGGATAAGCTGAAGTTTATTGAGGAGAGTGGAGGTGGTGCCATAAAAGAGACTGTTGCAGTAATCTAGACGGGATGAAATGAATGCATGTATAAGGGTTTCAGCTGCAGGGTAGGAGAGGGAGGGGCGGAGGCGGGCGATGTTTTTGAGGTGGAAGTAGGCTGTTTTAGTGATTTGCTTTATGTGGTGGGTGAAGGAGAGGTTGCTGTCAAAGAAAATGCCAAGGTTGCGACAGTGGGAGGAGGGGGAAAGGATGGCGTTGTCGATGGGGAGATGAAAGTTTGTGACTGTGGAGGTGAGGGAGTTTGGGCCAATGATGATGAGGTCTGTTTTGTCATAATTGAGCTTGAGGAGATTGCTGTCCATCCAGTGTTTGATGTCAGAGAGGCAGTTTGAGAGGGAGCGTTGGGTCTGGGGGGTGATGGAGTTGGAAGAGAGATTTATAATTGAATGTCATCAGCATAGCAGTGGAAGTGGAGGTTGTGTTGACGGAGGATGTGGCCTAGAGGGAGGAGGTAGATGATGAAGAGGAGGGGACCAAGCACCGAGCCCTGGGGGACACCTTGGGACACAGGGGCGGTTGTGGAGGAGCAGTTGTTAATATGGATGAAGTGATTACGGTCTGTGAGGTAAGAGTGGATCCAGTTAAGAGCGGTGTCTGTGATATTGAGGAGGGAGTGTAGGCGGGACAGAAGGATGGCATGGTTGATGGTGTCGAAAGCAGCGGAAAGATCGAGGAGGATGAGGATGGAGAGTTGGCCAGAATCAGCAGAGATGAGGAGGTCATTTGTCACTTTGATGAGGGCAGTTTCGGTGCTGTGGTGGGTGCGGAATCCTGATTGAAACTGTTCGTATAGGTTGTTATTGTTGAGGTGGGTTTTGATTTGTGATGTGATGACTCGTTCGGATTTTTGACAAGAAAGGGAGGTTGGAGATGGGCCGGAAGTTACTGATGTCATCGGGGTTGAGTCCAGGTTTTTTGAGGATGGGGGTGACAGCAGCCAGTTTGAGTGACGGAGGAACAGTGGCGGAGTTGAGGGAGGAGTTAATGATCTGTGTTATGATGGGGGAGATGACAGGGAGGCAGTGCTTGATGAGGGAGGATGGGATGGGATCCAGGATACAGGTGGATGAAGACATGGAGCAGATGATATTAGTCACGTCGGTTGAGGAGACAGGTGAGAAGCAGGAGAGTGCTGATGGGATGAGGGGAGGAGGGGAGGAGCAGGGAATGGAGGGTGGGGGAAGGGAGTTGTAGATTGCGTTGATTTTGGATTAAAAAGAGGAGAGGAATGAGTTGCATTTTTCCGGGGTGAAGGTGATGGAGGTATTGTCTATGGGGTGGAGCAGTTTTTTGACGGTGGAGAAAAGAACCTTTTGGTTATTGGAGCCGGAGTTGATGAGGTTGGAGTAATAGGATGAGCGGGCGGATTTGAGGGCTGTTCTGTATAGGTGGAGGTGGTCGGTGTAGGTTTGGAGATGGACAGTGAGGCCGGTTTTGCGGTATAGACGTTCCAGTTGGCGTTTATGGGATTTCATTTTGTGTAGTTCTGAAGTATACCAGGGGGCAGAGTGTCTGAATGAAACTGTTTTTGTTTTGAGAGGTGCGAGCTGGTCCAGGCAGGAGGATAGAGTGTTGTTGTAGTAGTTGATTAGGTCAGGAAGTTTAGCAGATGGTGAGGGAGGGGATGCAGTGAGGGTGGTAGATAGGGAAGCGGAGAGGTCCTGTGGTGAGATGGATTTGAGGTTTCTGAAGGTAATTTGTCGTTTTTCACTGTGAGGCAGAGGGGGGGTGGGGGGGTGGGGGGGGGGGGTGGTGGGGGGGTTGACGTTGAAAGTGACAGCCAGGTGATCAGATATATAGAGGTTGGTGGTGGAGAGATGGTGGATGGAGATGCCGGTGGAGCAGACAAGGTCGAGGGTGTGGCCATGGGAGTGGGTGGGGGAGTGCACATGCTGGGTGAGATTTAGGGTGTCGAGCAGATCCAGGAAATCAGATGCTTGTTTGCAGGTGGGGTTGTCAATGTGAAAGTTGAAGTCTCCAAGCAGCATGCTTGATCAAAATGAAAGGAGGGTTTGGTGAGGTGTAACAGTGTGTGTGTGTGTGTGTGTGTGTGTTTTGGTTTGTCTTGGTGTGTGTTTGTGAACCTCCAGCTGCAGCCGTCAGTTCAGTTTCAGTTCAGTCTGACAAAGGGAGGTTTTTGTACGGTGCTTTTTCACTGTGTGAACACAGCTTGACTGTTGATCCAGTGATAACTCTGACAGTAGTAAACTGCTGCATCTTCAGTCTGGACCCCACTGATGGTCAGAGTGAAACTAGATCCAGATCCACTGCCTGTAAAACGACTTGATATCCCTGATACTCCACTGCTAGCATAATAAATGAGCAGTTTAGGAGTTTCTCCGTCCTTCTGTTGGTACCAGGCTAAGTAGTTATTGCCATACACATTCTGACTGACACTACAGCTGATTCTTGCGTCTTCTCCTGGAGCAGAGCTCACAGCTGCAGGCTGAGTCACTGTGATCTTTCCTCTGGACTCTGAGGATACAGAGACAAACACAGAAAGCAGCGTCATGGTTTTGTGGGCTTCATTTCAGAGGGACGGATGTTCATAGAGGAGAGGAGTTGGATTCTCTGGACTTTACCTGTGAAGCAGCAGCAGAGGAGAGTCCAGATGAGGACGCAGATCACAGTCATGTTTCTGATCAGGAGGAGGAGGAAGATTTCTGTGTCTTCTGTTGTAATGAAGGACAGCTGTCAGTCATCCAGTCTTCAACTCTCAGGACTATAAAGTCTCCCAGAGCACTGGAGCATGCTGCTGCTCATGCAAACTCACTCTCTATGGAAATGACTCCTATGAATGGACAAATGCACTCATCAACTCTGCTGCATGTGTTGTGTCATGTTATGTTCAGGAAAGAAGGAGAGCTGAAAGAGGACACAAGTTTAGTCCAAAGGTGTTTTTAGAGGAGAGAGAGCTCCTGTCTGTGAAGGCCTTAGTTTCTGGAGTGGACCATCTCCATCAGTCTGAGGGTCACCTGATCCACTACAGAGAGAGAGATGAAGAAGGAGCGTCAATAAACTTCAGCACAAGAGGTCACTACAGCTGACTACAGTTGAGAAGATGAAACTGATCTTGAAACTGCTCTTTCACTTCCCTCTTACTCCAGTAACCATGGCAACAGACAGGCATCGCTGCTTAACCATGACAACAGACATGTTTCAGTGCTATAACAGAAGTCCTTAGTACCTCTGATAAACCATGAAAAAATAATAAAGATTTAAGGTTTTTAATTTTATACACTTTGTCAAAATAAATTAAAACTTTCAAAGAAAAACAATTAGCCGACATATTGTTGTGAAAAAGTTTGGAGCTTTTTTAAAGAATTACTTCAGGCTGAAAACCTTTAAAAAAAGTTATTATCAAATTCAAAAAAGTTCCTGGATTTATTCTAAAGTTTGTCCAGTTAACTTGGATAATAATTCAGTCCAATTAACCCACAGAATGAATGTTTTCAACTGAGACATATGAACTGATGTTGTAAACTGAGGTCCCATTGTAAGTAAGCAGGTGTTGTGGCAATGAAACTCTTTTTAATCAATGAGCTTAATGACAAAAGAAGTTCATTGATCTGATGATAGGAGTCATTTCCACAGAGAGTGAGTTTGCATGAGCAGCAGCATGCTCCAGTGATCTGGGAGACTTTATAGTCCTGAGGGTTGAAGACTGGATGACTGACAGCTGTCCGTCATCACAACAGAAGACACAGAAATCCTCCTCGTCCTCCTCCTGATCAGAAACATGACTGTGATCTGCGTCCTCATCTGGACTCTCCTCTGCTGCTGCTTCACAGGTAAAGTCTAGAGAATCCAACTCCTCTCCTCTATGAACATCTGTCCCTCTGAAATGAAGCCCACAAAACCATGACGCTGCGTTCTGTGTTTGTCTCTGTATCCTCAGAGTCCAGAGGACAGTTCACACTGACTCAGCCTGCAGCAGTGACCTCTGCTCCGGGGGGAACCGCACAATTTAGCTGTAGTGTCAGTCAGAATGTGCATAACAATAACTGGTTATCCTGGTACCAACAGAAGGACGGAGAAACTCCTAAACTGCTCATTTATCTTGCTAGCACTCGACAATCAGGGATATCAAGTCGTTTTTCAGGCAGTGGATCTGGATCTAGTTTCACTCTGACCATCAGTGGAGTCCAGATTGAAGATGCAGCAGTTTACTACTGTCAGAGTTGGCACTACCCCAACAGTCAGTGGGTCTGCACACAGTGAAAAAGCGTCATACAAAAACCTCCCTCAGTCAGACTGAACACACAGCTGCAGCTGAACTTCCTGCAGACCCTGATACACTTCAGTGATGATTCATACACACACTAACACACAGCAGTCCTCACCGCCATATTGAAGGCCATCCCAAACCACAGAGTGAGGAGGGCGAGTGGACTCTTCAGCCCTTGAATAGCGAGTCTGCACCAATGCTGACGGGATTTGCAGGTCGTGCGCCGGCAAAAATGGAGGAGTAGGAAACACCATACAAATATAAGTTCTGTACATGTCCACTTTTGTCTTACTGACAAAAAAAATCTACAAAAGACGTGGTTTGGAAAGATCAAATGAAACTCTGAAATCGTACTCTGTGCTGACATTTGTTTTGATTGTGCAGGTGTTGCACGTAAAGGATGAAGAAGGAGGCTCCTCTTGGTGCAGCACATTAGTTTTTCTTAAATTTCTGTGGGAACATCAGTTAACAATCAGTTCTTATGTCCGTGCTTACAATCTCTCCGTCTGGCTTCTCACTCGATTGTACAAGTAAAAATATTCACAGTATCTTAAAATATTGTGCACTGAACACCTTTCTTTCTTCTTTTTATCAAATTATTTATATTCCATGAACTCCATTTTTAACACAAATAGTTTTTCTTACTGTTCTTCTAATCAATCATGTTTACATTGTTATCATCAACTGTCGCGGGTCAACCGGAAGCCCAACGTCACACTCCGGTTCTGCACGTTAATGAGCCGACAGGTGAGAAACACAAGCAAACATGGCACCCCTGCACACGAGCCGACCGCGAACGGGTGCTCGATAACGCGCGAGCCGAACCGCTGGTTAACTGACAACGCACGAACGAAACAACTAGCCACTAGCTAGCTTTGGGCACGCTAGTCAACAACCCGAGAGCTGGTGCCGCACGGTACGCGAGTTCCTCTGAACTCCTTAACTTGCACCATTTGTCACGGTCACTCGTGTTTTTCTTTCTACATCAGTCTCATGTCTCTTTCTTACCTGTGCGTTTAGCGTAAACGCGATTAGGGCTTAAACGCATTTAGTTATACGGGACTTAAATGCGTTTAGTTCCTATATGATTTTGGTATGCACAATGCTGTAAACGGAACCGTATAGCTAACCGCGTTTACTGTGTCTTAAACAGTAAAGATATTTATAGAATTGGGTCAACCGGTCTGTTTTAAGTGTTGTGTACTTTCGGTTGAGAACGGCCGTTTTCAACCATGGATAAGCCGGCTAAACGTGTACGGAAGTCAAATTTCAGCGACGAAGAAGTCCGAGTACTTCTTGAAGAAAAACAACTTGAGCATGTAACGTTATTCAGCAGCCACAACGCGACCATCACGAGGGAGGTGCAAAAAGAAGCTTGGGCGAGAATCGCCAAAAAGGTTAACTCTTGCGGTGTGGCAGTGCGGCTGTCCATGAAGTGAAGGAGAAGTTTCGAGCCTTGAAAGGAGGTGTGCTCAACAAAAGACGGGACAAAAAGAAGACAGGAGGAGGGCCACCACCAGCGCCAGTACCCTATGAGGAAATTATTCTGGGTATCATCGGGGAAAAATCGAATTTGTTTACTGGTGTGGCAGGTGAGTTTTTTTTAATTTTGGTCATTGGCTCTGTGCATGCCATTAGTATTACACCTTCAGGAAATGTAAATGTAGGCCTACTTTTATTATTATTCTTACGGAACACTTCGTGGTTGTCATACGTGTCGAAGGGGTGTTTTCTGTCACGAAAAATCCTGTTTTGACGCAATTGTCGCCGCTGTCTTCCTTGGAACAACAAGAGTGCCGCCATATTTAAACACGTTTAGACCCGCTATTGGGCCCCAGAGTTGCGATAACTTTGCACACAGCGCCCTCTGCTGACGAGATGTCCCCACCGTGTACACAGAAATTCAACAGTGCAAACCATAACCAACAGGTAACAAAAAATGGTTTCATCCTGTTCTTGTGTGTGTGTGTGTGTGTGTGTGTGTGGATGTAGTATATTATGTGTATAAAACTAATAATGATAATAACCTTTGAAAGATGGAAAAATGGGGGGTAAGTGGTAAATGCTAAGTTGTCCCAATGTCTTGCTGTCTTGGAAAACACATTGTGCCACACAGACACATGTCAAATAGTCAAGGGGTTCAAAGACGTGTGGAATCACTGACAATCAGAATTATAATTTAGCTCCTGTCACTGTAATGGTTACTGGATTTATGACAGGACGCGGCTTTATGTTGCTATGGCGATGAATCTTTTAGTTTTCCAGTGGAGTGAGGAGGGCGTCCCATACCCGCCCATCTTGTTTATACCGTCCTTTATTTTCAATTGAGGCGCACTCCACAGCTGTGAGTGTAACTTCATTATGGGTGACACTCGGTAGTGAAGGCGGAGTGTGTAGGGGTCGGTTTGGGATTGGGCCATACTCTCCACATGTCACATGGAAGGGCATGCAGCCATCTTGTTCCCAGACTTCCCTACATGCAGAGAGAGAGAGAGAAAGAGACCAGACAGGAGGCTCTTCTGAGCCGGCCTCACACGTAACAGGATTGTTTTCTTTTTATAAACCAGATTTTGTCCTCATAAGTCTTTTTCTTGAAACTAGTCCTGAAATAGGGGTCGTCTTATAATCAGGGTTGTCTTATTTTCAGATCAACATTTCACAGCTCTCTGTTGTTAAAGTTTGGATGCCTGGATTTTCAGCTTTTGACTCTTAGTCAAGAGGCTTAGCTCACTTTTTAGGTGGATTGTGAACTTGCTGATAAAAGTGACAAATTTTGTATGAGGCTTCCTGAGGACATACTAAAACTTTTACGCCTAGGAGCCCAACACAGATATCAGAAGTATCCATATAGAACACAAAAGTTGTTTTTCTATTGAAAAATAAATAAATTCTTGAGTCATAAGAAGAACATTGGTGGTAAATTGCTTCTTTTTGTCCACTGAAGAGGCTGAAACTGATTTAATTTGTTCACTGATTACTAAACCTCCAAAATAATGTGTAAAATAGAGTATCAAGACACTTGGTACCTGTACACCCTTAATAAAGAAGTGCACAATATAGGCGGATATTAAAAAAATAAAAAAAAGAAGTGTGTTATGTTATGTAAAGAGCTCTCACTCCATTTTTGAGATATGAAAACTCATCCTGTTAAGAAACTGCTCAGTTTTTTAAGGCTTTATTTTTTAATTTGTTGTGTTTTTGTCTGTATAATTTAGGTAGTTTTTAAATATATAGTACACTAATATAATAATATATTCTGGAGTAGATTTTTGCTCCAAGTTCAAATTGAGAAGAACTTGATGTTGTTTATTAATATTATGTCCCCATGAGGCCTGAAAAAAACAAATTCTTATTCTCTCAAAAAGTGGAGCTTTGATCAGTTATTAGATCAGGGTATCAGGATATTGAGGTGTATAAAACACTGTCATCTGTAAAAAAGCAGATTTAATGAGAGGGAACTGAGTTTAATGTGAGGGATGTTGGTTCAATGTTGACTAGACTAAACTAAATATTTAATATGTTAACATTTAAGATAAAGTTAAATTATTTTTCCTTTTTATGTGTGTGTGTGTGTTTTTGTGTGCGTGCGTGTGTGTGTGTGTGTGTGTGTGTGTGTTTGTGTACGTGCATGTGTGTGTGTGTGTGGAATCACCAGCTGCTGCCTTCAGTTCAGTTTCATTTCAGTCTGACTGAGGGAGGTTTTTGTATGACGCTTTTTCACTGTGTGAACACCCACTGACTGTTGATGCTGTGTTGACTCTGACAGTAGTAAACTGCTGCATCTTCAGTCTGGACTCCACTGATGGTCAGAGTGAAACTAGATCCAGATCCACTGCCTGTAAAACGACTTGATATCCCTGATACTCGACTGCTAGCATAATAAATGAGCAGTTTAGGAGTTTCTCCATCCTTCTGTTGGTACCAGGCTAAATGGTTATTGCTCCACACATTCTGACTGACACTACAGCTGATTCTTGCGTCTTCTCCTGGAGCAGAGCTCACAGCTGCAGGCTGAGTCACTGTGACCTGTCCTCTGGACTCTGAGGATACAGAGACAAACACAGAAAGCAGCGTCATGGTTTTGTGGGCTTCATTTCAGAGGGACGGATGTTCACAGAGGAGAGGAGTTGGATTCTCTGGACTTTACCTGTGAAGCAGCAGCAGAGGAGAGTCCAGATGAGGACGCAGATCACAGTCATGTTTCTGATCAGGAGGAGGAGGAGGAGGATTTCTGTGTCTTCTGTTGTAATGAAGGACAGCTGTCAGTCATCCAGTCTTCAACTCTCAGGACTATAAAGTCTCCCAGAGCACTGGAGCATGCTGCTGCTCATGCAAACTCACTCTCTATGGAAATGCTCAGATTAACTCCAACAGGGCCTTACATTATTGACATGATGACGATGATGATGTTCAATAATGGATCGATCAATTCATCTCCTGATTGATCAAACAGCTTTCCTGACTTGTAGCATGAAGGTTTAGGTCTGTTCTTCTTCATCCATCTATTTGGAGAGATTTCTTCAGTCCTAGCCCGATGCTGAGGACAATGAATGTCAACTATTCAGTAAATCAATAAAGATCTTCAAAAACTGGATTCATTCAAATGGACTACATTGAATTCTCTGCTTTCATTGGAGCTCAAAGCTCTTGCAGACAGAGACACATTTAGGTGACTTTGTTTGTGTCAGAGTCAGAGAGCCGTGTCTCTGTACAGATCAGAGGTTTTTGTACGGCGCCTCAATGACTTTGTATCACTGTGGTACACGTTCGGTGGAGGAACCAGACTGGATGTTGGAAGTAAGTTTCTATTTTAATATCAAATCTTTCAGTTCAACATAGTGTATAAATTCTTATTTGAAACAGAACTTTTTCTGTTGAATTTGGACATTTTGATTTGATCTTTTTTTATTGATCACTGTTGTTTCTTCACACGGAGGTTCATTCAGGACAGTTACACTGAACAGTTTTTCACACAGTCTGGTCATAAAATGTCAAAATTCTGACCGACTTGAAGGTTGAATTTTATTTTGAGAAAAATGTTTCACTTTTTTTAAATTCATTTAAACTCATTTTCTAAAACTGCATTTTGAACTCTTGATGATATTGATCTGATTTGGACGTTTGAAGATTTCCAACCCAGTGTAGACATAAAAACCATGAAGGAAAAAGAAGAACATCTCTGATCTCTTGATGTCTTTTTAAATGAGACTCTTTTGAACCCGACTGGTGAGGATTTCAACTCACATGAAGAACATTGATCGATTGATTGATTGATTGACTGATGAGTATTGATATGTATTTCCTCAGAATAGTCAAAAGTGTAATGTTTGAATGGTCTGATAGTGTTTGTGTTATTTCAGTGATTTTCAGTGGGGTTAGTCAGTGTGTGAGTGTCTCTGTGCTGATGTGCATGAGAGGTTTCTTAAAGGGAAGTGAAAGTCCATGAAGAAGAAAATCAACGTTCAACATGAAAGCTGTCTCAGTGTCTGCTGTTTGATTGACAGCTGTGTGCTCCCTGTCCTCTAAGCTGATTGGTGTCTCCTAGGTGATTCCCCTCCCAAACTGACGGTGCTGCCCCCCTCCAAAGACGAGCTGAAGCAGCAGCAGCAGCAGCAGCAGCAGCAGCAGCAGGGGACGGCCACGCTCATGTGCCTGGCCAACAAGGGCTTCCCCTCAGACTGGACTCTGGTCTGGAAGGTGGACGGCAGCAGCAGCAGCAGCTGGGAGGAGAGCAGGAGCCCTGCGGTGCTGGAGAAGGACGGTAAATACACCTGGAGCAGCACCCTGAGGCTCCCTGCAGACCAGTGGGACAAGGTGGTCTCTGTGACCTGTGAGGCCACCCAGGGCTCCCAGAATCCGGTCTCTTATACCCTGAGGAGAGACGAGTGTTCCCAGTAGTGATCTGATTCACTGGGACCCTGATTCAGTTTTTCCTCTCTTCCTGCTCTCAGTCTAAACCCTCTCTCTCTCTCTCTCTCTCTCTCTCTCTCTCTCTCTCTCTTGTTCTGTCCTTCAGTCATGGTGTTTCATGTTTCGGTGTTTCTGCTTTTGCTGATGGATTCATGATTTTAAAACAATAAAGATTTTCTTGTGTTTATCATCAAACTGGTCAGATTTTTTTTTTGTGTTTTATAATTTGTTAATTTTTCAAGCATTTAAGAAACAGTGAGATTGGACTCAACAGAGAGTAATGAGAGCTTTATTTCCTGTTTATGTCGGCAGAATTTACAGCCTCAGTTCTGACTGTCAGAATACATACATGCTCATAAATCAGCTTCATTGGTCCATTTCGTTTAGCAGCACTTATATCTTTCTGCCTTGAATTTGGGCTGTACTATTTCATCATAAATAATGAGTTTATTTATTTTTTATTCTTATGCTGAAGAGATTTCATCACTTTACCAAAACATTTCCAGGAGATACTTGTAATAACACACTGTTGACTGTCCTTTGCTTCACTGATCAAGATTACAAACATAATGTCAGGATATTAAGATAAACAAGAAGGAAAGGGCCGGAACGAAAATGATTTATTCAAAATGAACGAAATAAAAAGCAACAAAAACTTAATTTAAATGTCCGACAGAAAATTTTCAAAAAGGCAAAAAACACAAAAGAGGCAAAAGCAACAAAAATCCAAGAAAATACACTGAGAGGAAAAAATCACAAGGAGACACTGGGGACATCGGTGCGCGCACGCACGCACGCACACACACACGCACGCACACACACACACACACACACACACACACACACACACACACACACACACACACACAAACACACACACACAATGAACCAACAAGACAGAGAGGTAGACAAGGACTATATATACACACAGGGAAACGTGCAACAGGTGAGACACTGAGACAGGTGAGGACAATTACAGAGGAGGGAAAACAAGACTGGAAACACGAGGATGGACTACTACGAAATAAAACAGGAAACACTGAAAACTGATCTAAAGAATAAAACATTAAGAACAAGAGGGAAACACAAACTGAAAACTGACAAAACTGGACTACAGGGGGACAGGGACACTAGGAAGCACAGGGGAAAACTAAATACCCAAACATATCATGACTCATAAAGTGTGTTATCATCTTGGGTGAACTGATAAACTGATCTCTTAGTATAATAATTGACCTCATTACTAATTCATATAAAATTCACTGATACTGGTGCCAACAGTCAGTTATAGAGAGTTGGTGGGAACTGTGCAGCAGTGTTTTGATAAAAGATGATTTATTTACACTTTCCAGACATCATGACAACAATCAAACCTCTGATGACCTCAGTTATCTTCACATTGATTCTGTTAATGTTACCCTGACTTTGTTATGATGATGATAATCAGAGGATACATCAGGCCTCACCAAAAACTAAACTGGATATAAAGTGTAAAATAATGCGGTCATTGTTCCTCCTCATTCGGCTCTTCATCTGTATCTGGACAGACTGACCTTTGTCAGGATGTGAGTGCTCAGTGCAGCTCTGTGCAGCAGAGATGCTGACAGCTAATCTCCACAATCAGATCCAAAACTTAAGTAACTTTTGGATCATTTTGACTCTTGAATATCATCAGTGAGATGTCCTGAGGGGTTCAGCCTTTAGTGTGGCCGCCCCTCCTCTCTGGAACTCTCTCCCCTCTGAGATTCGCCAAGCGCAGACTCTTGACTCTTTCAAGTCTGCTCTGAAGCGACGCTTGTTTATTCAGGCTTTTGGGATCTAGTTAGGTTTTTTTTTGTAGTGTGTTGTTAAGCGCTTTGGGTATCTTGAAAGGCGCTATACAAATGTAAGATATTATTATTATTATTATTAGATGATGTTCCCTGTTTCAATAACCCTGTAACTGTACCTGTAATGCAACTAAGAATGAAGGTTGGAGAAACATGAGTTTGATGAGATCTACTATAAATATTAGGGGTGGAACGGTTCACAAAATCCACGGTTCGGTTCGTATCACGGTTTTGTGGTCACGGTTTTCGGTTCGGTTCAGTATACATTGACTGTTACAAAAATCAATTGCGTCTTGTATAGTAAACTGAAAGAATGAGGCAGTCTGACATTCAATACATCATTGTGACAGTCTTAGGTTAAAAGGTAGGTCAGATTCTGGCAGTGCAAGAGAGGAGACATAGTTCCAACATGCTTTACATTTATTTGGCAAAGGATATCTCTATCTATCTAAACAAAAAGTAAAATGGCTCTTATAGCTCTGACCCTTGAATTAGTGCATACAAAAGAATTTAACTTTACTATTTTACAAACAACATTATATACTATCAACATAAAGTGAAGCATAGGCTCTATCAGCACTAGACTTATGCCCTTTTAAAATCAACACAAAAACAACATGTTTCTCGTAACATGTAACCTGTTTCAACTCCCTGATTATTAGTTGTTCATGAAAAGCTCAGTATTTTTCACTTGAAATTGAAGTGCAGTGAAGTGTGTGAAATACAATCAAAGAAATCAGGCTGTAGTTTTGATCAAACTTTAAGTGTCACTGTGTTATCTAAAGTCTAAACAAAATGAAATAAATAATCCAAATTAAGAGGTCATCAATATAAAATGCAGCATAAACCAAATTTAACAGATCCTGCGCTCTCCTGCACTCTCTCACACAACTCTGCTCATTGTATCATCATGTTCTTCTGCAAGAAGATCAGTTTGTCCACATTCTCTGCCAAGAGACGAGATCTACTTGCAGTGACAATGTCCCCTCATCTCCCACTCTGAGGTAATGTAATGGACAGTCACAGTCAGGAAACTTTCAGTTGCCCCGGAGGTCCATCCATCGGTAGTAAGAGCAACATAGGCTGTGTCAGACAGTTCTTTCACAATTCCCAGTCGGATCTTTTCATAAAGTGCGGGAATTACCATGCCGCTGAAGTGTTTGCGAGAGGGGCTCTTATATCGTGGCTCGAGCGCCTTTATCATGCACTTAAGTCCCGCACCCTCAACCACGGCGTAAGGTTGCATATCGTTGGCGATGAAACACCCCAGTGCCTTTGTTATGCCCTTCGCCCTGTCCGACTCGTCATTGTACGGCTGTTTAAAAGCTGCGGGGAGAAGTTGTGCAGCCTTGCCTCTCCTTGCGCTGTCAACAGCCACACTGGGATGACGTCTCCGTAAATGAACTGACATGTTAGATGTGTTCCCGTTAGCATAAGCAATGCGTGTTGCACAGTACTTGCACACTGTCGCACTTTTATCCACAACTTTCTTAACGCCTTCATAGTTCACCCTGAACGCAAAATGCTCCCATACACCAGACCTATATAACGCTGGTGGCGCATCCTCCAGCCCCGAGTCTTCTCCGCTCGCCATGTTCACAGCTCCTCTACAACTAATTTCCGGGACACATCTGTAGTTGCGCATGTGTATGACCCGAACGGGATGCAAGCGAACCGAACCGGGACGGTCGAACCGAACGGTTCAGTTCGGTTTCTTAAACCGTTCCATCCCTAATAAATATCTATGTTTATTACATGTAGAGAGTTTCAGTGTCTCTGCAGATGTTCAGTCTGATCACTTCCTCTTTAGCTGAGGAGGTTTTTGTATGACGCTTTTTCACTGTGTGAGTGGGTAGCTGTTACGCTGCTGACAGTAATAAACTCCGGCGTCTTCAGTCCGGACTCCTCTGATGGTCAGAGTAAAGTCTGTCCCAGATCCACTCCCACTGAAACGATCCGAAACTCCAGACTGACGAGTTGAAGCTGAATAAATCAAGAGTTTGGGAGCTTCTCCAGTTTTCTGAAGAAACCAATCAAGATTAGTACCAATGCTTGAACTGGATTTACATCTGAGAGAAACAGTCTGTCCTGGAGGAGAAGACTGAGCTCCAGGAGACTGAGTCATGGTGATATCTCCTGATGAACCTGAAATATAAGAAAAAGAGGAAAAGGCTATTCAGCGTCCTCGAAGAAGATGTCAAATGTCCAAAAAGAAGAGTATCATCTCTTTAACACGGAGAAGAGAGATCAAAACTGTCTCAGCAGTGATCCTCACCATGAATAAGGAGCCCCAGGGCGGCCACCACTACAATAAGTAACTCCATCATTGTGTTCTGGACGTGTCCGTGTCTCTGAAGGGTCTGGACAGCCACCCATGAACTCTGACCTCTTAAGAGCTGAGAGCAGAGAGGAAGGACACATATGCAAACACTCAGAGTCAGTCATCTGAAACTGTCCTCTACATCTGATTGGAGTCTCTCTCTAACAGCTTTGACAGCATGAAGGTTTCAGTCTCACATTCACTGATGATCCTTTGGCCTTCACTAAACAAGTGCAGCAACATGATCCTGAAGGTTCATGAAAACATGATTCAGTTTTTATTATTTCAGAGGATGTGAGTGAAAAAGTTTGAGCCTGAAAAACTTTTTTTTTTGTTATAGTAGATACTGACAGTTTCATATAGAAAGACAATTCTTTGTGTTTGACTTGATTTTATGATAAATGTCTTGGTATAAATATCTGCTTTACTTGAACGGGTCATTTGAGTTTCTTCAAATGTTGCTGAAAGACCTTCAGAGTATTTTTAAAGTGGATAAGGTGTTTGAATGAATTAATGGTGGAATAGTGATCATAATCAAAATGAAGGGAGGGTTTGGTGACGTGTAACAGTGTGTGTGTGTGTGTGTGTGTGTGTGTGTGTGTGTGTGTGTGTGTGTGTGTGTGTGTGTGTGAACCTCCAGCTGCAGCCGTCAGTTCAGTTTCAGTTCAGTCTGACTGAGGGAGGTTTTTGTATGACGCTTTTTCACTGTGTGAACACAGCTTGACTGTTGATGTCATGATAACTCTGACAGTAGTAAACTGCTGCATCTTCAGTCTGGACTCCACTGATGGTCAGAGTGAAACTAGATCCAGATCCACTGCCTGAAAAACGACTTGATATCCCTGATTGTCGACTGTTAGCATGATAAATTAGCAGATTAGGAGTTTCTCCATCCTTCTGTTGGTACCAGGATAAGAAGTCATTATTATACACATTCTGACTGACACTACAGCTGATTTGTGCGTTTCCTCCTGGAGCAGAGGTCACTGCTGCAGGCTGAGTCACTGTGACCTGTCCTCTGGACTCTGAGGATACAGAGACAAACACAGAAAGCAGCGTCATGGTTTTGTGGGCTTCATTTCAGAGGGATGGATGTTCATAGAGGAGAGGAGTTGGATTCTCTGGACTTTACCTGTGAAGCAGCAGCAGAGGAGAGTCCAGATGAGGACGCAGATCACAGTCATGTTTCTGATCAGGAGGAGGAGGAGGAGGATTTCTGTGTCTTCAGTTGTGATGAAGGACAGCTGTCAGTCATCCAGTCTTCAACTCTCAGGACTATAAAGTCTCCCAGAGCACTGGAGCATGCTGCTGCTCATGCAAACTCACTCTCTGTGGAAATTTGTAGAACTGAAACTTGTCTGCAGTCATACCTGAGCAGTGATGCTGGTCTGTTTCCACGGTAACTCAGCTATGAGAGGAAATGTTTGAGACCAGTTTCATCTTCTCTGATAAAGACCAGCAGATGTGCTTCAGTCTCTGTTACAGGAACTCACCTGACACAAACTTTATTTCAGCAGCACCAACCTCACTTTTCTCACTTTTCTGGATCGTTCATCAATCAGGGAAGTTGTGAAACACTGACTGTGCTCATATTTCTAAAATCATCTTTTCATTTGAACCTCCATTACAAATTATAAGGCACAGTTATTAAAGTGGTGCTTTTATTCTGAAGGCCAAATGTGTTGACAGGAATGGCTCTTCTCAGTGATGGACCAGAGTGATCACAGAGAGTTTGGGATTTCTTCTCCTTTGTCGACTCTTGGACTCACTGAAATTAAAAAGAGACTAAGAGTCTTAGTTTGAGGAAATGTCCGGGTTTACGGATCTTAGAGAGTTATTCAGGCGACGGCTGTTGACTGCAGCTCACAGACACCTCCATGAAGGATCAACATCGTCCTGCTTTGAAGAGGAGCTCCGGAGGCAGAAGAAACAGCTGAAAGTGATGTTAGGCCCTGAAATAAAGCTGCAGAGAGCAGGTCTGTGTTCTTCCCTCTGTTTACTGTAGATGTTGGCCTGCAACTAACCTTCAAAATGCTCAAACGACAGTCTGGAAACATGGAAAACTGTTTTCATCATCAGAATAATCAAAGAAATAAAGAAAAGAGAAAGTGAGAGAAGACAGAAAAAATACAATAATAATAATAATAACAAATAATGAGTTTTAAATGAAGATAATGAACTCTGCAGTCTGATCTCCTCAGGTAGTTTGTTCTAGAGAGTGGGGGCCCTGATAGAAAAAGGCTGGCCCCCCTGGTCCTCAGCCTGGATTCGGGGACAGTCATCAGCATTATGTTTTCTAAATTAAGGCTGTACGATTTTAGAAAACACCAACATTGCAATTTTTTTCAATCCTACGATACAGATTGCGATATTAAAAAATAGATGAATTTTCACCAGATGACCTGAATATCACTTTATGCTGAAATCTTGAGGACAATTACCCTGCACTGATCTTACCTCTTTTTGTGAATGTTAGTAGAATGGCTTCTGTCTGTCTCAGAGATCTTTTTAGCTTTTATTGTGCTGGGACGTTATTGTGGCAACTGATGAAAGGCACTGCCGACACAGAACAGGTGTTTGGTGACGTCAGCCTTTCTGTAACCGAAATAATTACAGATAAGTGACGTTGCTGTTCTTTTTTTCCAACAAGTATTGATCTTCAAGGGCAAGTGACGCTGCTTTTTTTTTAGTCAACACGTAATGATCTTTAGCGGTTTTCTCTAGTTCGTTTCTCAATTTGCAATCATTGACGTTGTTTCCGTGTCCACCGAGGATTGTATGAAACCGGCAGAAACGCGCACCGCTTATAGTAGAGTGGTCCACGGAAATGTACAATTTAAAACCCATACAGTTCTTATTTGTGGGGCTAAACAGTGATGAGGAATGTTCCCAAAGTAATTCTGAGCGGACACGCGTTTCTCGGCAAATCTACGCTAGCTTCCGCGACTAGCTTCATGTACAGGACATGTGCATGGGCGTGGTATCCTCCTCTCTGATTTTGATTGACAGCTGGCAGTGTAGTCCGATTGGCAACTGAGTAAAGAACGAATGTGATTGGTGGATTGCTGCATGACACATGCAGAGTCTCATGCAGTGTATCTCAGTCATCTACCCTTGCAAGGCTCTGCAATGTCACTATCACGACAAATACATCGCGATGACGATGGTCAAACGATATATATCATGCAGCCTTCTTCCAAATTAGTTAAAAATACATGTAAACCATGTTTAATGTATAAACAGACATTTAAATTCCTTTATGTCATCTTTCACTCAGTAAAAAAATTTCCTATACACCATATTTAACACAAACTCGTGTTTCTTTGGTGTCTCCTTGTGTTTCTTCAGTGTTTTCTTTTTACATCCAGCAGCTGATCATGAAAGAAGAGTCTCCTGAGCAGAAGTGGAGCCCCAGTCTGGACCAGGACGATGTCAAACCTCCACAGATTAAAAGGAAACATGAGGAATTTTTTGAGCAGTCAGGAGGAGCCGCCTCAAGGACTGGAGGAGGCTGATACCACTGAGATCCCTTTGACTCCATACGAGGAGAAACCTCGGTCCTTACAGCTTCATCACAGACTGACTGAACAGACGGACACACAGGCTGATGAGAAGGACTCTGGAGGTTCAGAACAAGCCAGGAACTTGGATCCAGAAAGACATTTATATAGTACACTAATATAATAATATGTTCTGGAGTTCAAACTGAGAAGAACTTGATGTTGTTTATCAATATTATCTCCCCATGAGGCCTGAAAAAAAAATTTCTTATTCTCTCAAAAAGTGGAGCTTTGATCAGTTATTAGATCAGGGTATCAGGATATTGAGGTGTAAAAAACACTGTCATCTGTAAAAAAGCAGATTTAATGAGAGGGAACTGAGTTTAATGTGAGGGATGTTGGTTCAATGTTGACTAGACTAAACTAAATATTTAATTCATATGTTAACATCTATGATAAAAAAGTGAAATTATTATTTCTCTTTATGTCTTTGTGTGTGTGTGAACCTTCAGCTGCTGCCGTCAGTTCAGTTTAATTTCAGTCTGACTGAGGGAGGTTTTTGTACGACGCTTTTTCACTGTGTGCAGACCCACTGACTGTTAATCCAGTGTTCACTCTGACAGTAGTAAACTGCTGCATCTTCAGTCTGGACTCCACTGATGGTCAGAGTGAAACTAGATCCAGATCCACTGCCTGAAAAACGACTTGATATCCCTTATTGTCGAGTGCTAGCAAGATAAATGAGCAGTTTATGAGTTTCTCCGTCCTTCTGTTGGTACCAGTGCAGATAGTTATTGCCATTCACATTCTGACTGACACCACAGCTGATTCTTGCGTCTTCTCCTGGAGCAGAGGTCACTGCTGCAGGCTGAGTCAGTGTGTACTGTCCTCTGGACTCTGAGGATACAGAGACAAACACAGAAAGCAGCGTCATGGTTTTGTGGGCTTCATTTCAGAGGGACAGATGTTCACAGAGGAGAGGAGTTGGATTCTCTGGACTTTACCTGTGAAGCAGCAGCAGAGGAGAGTCCAGATGAGGACGCAGATCACAGTCATGTTTCCGATCAGGAGGAGGAGGAGGAGGATTTCTGTGTCTTCTGTTGTAATGAAGGACAGCTGTCAGTCATCCAGTCTTCAACTCTCAGGACTATAAAGTCTCTCAGAGCACTGGAGCATGCTGCTGCTCATGCAAACTCACTCTCTATGGAAATGCTCAGATTAACTCCAACAGGGCCTTAGATTATAGACATGATGATGATGATGATGAAGATGTTCAATAATGGATCAATCAGTTCATTTCCTGATTGATCAATCAGCTTTCCTGACTTGTATCATGAAGGTTTAGGTTTGTTCTTCTTCATCCATCTATTTGGAGAGATTTCTTCAGTCCTAGCCCGATGCTGAGGACAATGAATTTCAACTATTCAGTAAATCAATAAAGATCTTTTAAAACTGGATTCATTCAAATGGACTACATTGAATTCTCTGCTTTCATTGGAGCTCAAAGCTCTTGCAGACAGACACACATTTAGGTGACTTTGTTTGTGTCAGAGTCAGAGAGCCGTGTCTCTCTACAGTCAGAGGTTTTTGTACGGCGCCTCGATGACTTTGTATCACTGTGGTACACGTTCGGTGGAGGAACCAGACTGGATCTTGGAAGTAAGTCAAATATAAAGTCTTTTTCTTTTGAGTGTGTCATTTTTGTTTCTGATTTCTCCTTTTGAAAGACTGAAGGAAAAATATTCGCGTTTCTTTTTCTTTTTGCATGTTTTAGAGCGAGTGAAACTTGAGGGATCCAGGTGTCAGTTAGAAACTAAAACTGTATAAAAACTCCAATTAAATCTGAGTCCATGAAATAATGAAGTGTTTCTAATGTTGGTATTCAGTTGGAGCCTGAGGGCTGGTAGGTTTAGTTCAGTCAGAGTCAGAGAGCCGTGTCTCTCTACAGTCAGAGGTTTTTGTACGGCGCCTCAATGACTTTGTATCACTGTGGTGGACTTTTGGTGGAGGAACCAGACTGGATGTTGGAAGTAAGTTTCTATTTTAATATCAAATCTTTCAGTTCAACATAGTGTATAAATTCTTATTTGAAACAGAACTTTTTCTGTTGAATTTGGACATTTTGATTTGATCTTTTTTTATTGATCACTGTTGTTTCTTCACACGGAGGTTCATTCAGGACAGTTACACTGAACAGTTTTTCACACAGTCTGGTCATAAAATGTCAAAATTCTGACCGACTTGAAGGTTGAATTTTATTTTGAGAAAAATGTTTCACTTTTTTTAAATTCATTTAAACTCATTTTCTAAAACTGCATTTTGAACTCTTGATGATATTGATCTGATTTGGACGTTTGAAGATTTCCAACCCAGTGTCGACATAAAAACCATGAAGGAAAAAGAAGAACATCTCTGATCTCTTGATGTCTTTTTAAATGAGACTCTTTTGAACCCGACTGGTGAGGATTTCAACTCACATGAAGAACATTAGATCGTCTTATTGATCGATTGATTGACTGATGAGTATTGATATGTATTTCCTCAGAATAGTCAAAAGTGTAATGTTTGAATGGTCTGATAGTGTTTGTGTTATTTCAGTGATTTTCAGTGGGGTTAGTCAGTATGTGAGTGTCTCTGTGCTGATGTGCATGAGAGGTTTCTTAAAGGGAAGTGAAAGTCCATGAAGAAGAAAATCAACGTTCAACTTGAAAGCTGTCCCAGTGTCTGCTGTTTGATTGACAGCTGTGTGCTCCCTGTCCTCTAAGCTGATTGGTGTCTCCTAGGTGATTCCCCTCCCAAACTGACGGTGCTGCCCCCCTCCAAAGACGAGCTGGAGCACAGGCAGGGGAAGGCCACGCTCATGTGCCTGGCCAACAAGGGCTTCCCCTCAGACTGGACTCTGGTCTGGAAGGTGGACGGCAGCAGCAGCAGCAGCTGGGAGGAGAGCAGGAGCCCTGCGGTGCTGGAGAAGGACGGTAAATACACCTGGAGCAGCACCCTGAGGCTCCCTGCAGAGCAGTGGGACAAGGTGGTCTCTGTGACCTGTGAGGCCACCCAGGGCTCCCAGAATCCGGTCTCTTATACCCTGAGGAGAGACGAGTGTTCCCAGTAGTGATCTGATTCACTGGGACCCTGATTCAGTTTTTCCTCTCTTCCTGCTCTCAGTCTAAACTCTCTCTCTCTCTCTCTTGTTCTGTCCTTCAGTCATGGTGTTTCATGTTTCGGTGTTTCTGCTTTTGCTGATGGATTCATGGTTTTAAAACAATAAAGATTTTCTTGTGTTTATCATCAAACTGGTCAGATTTTTTTTTATGTTTTATAATTTGTTAATTTTTCAAGCATTTAAGAAACAGTGAGATTGGACTCAATAGAGAGTAATGAGAGCTTTATTTCCTGTTTATGTCGGCAGAATTTACAGCCTCAGTTCTCATGACTGTCAGAATACATACATGCTCATAAATCAGCTTCATTGGTCCATTTCGTTTAGCAGCACTTATATCTTACTGCCTTGAATTTGGGCTGTACTATTTCATCATAAATAATGAGTTTATTTATTTTTTATTCTTATGCTGAAGAGATTTCATCACTTTACCAAAACATTTCCAGGAGATACTTGTAATAACACACTGTTGACTGTCCTGTGCTTCACTGATCAAGATTACAAACATATTGTCAGGATATTAAGATAAACAAGAAGGAAAGGGCCGGAACGAAAATGATTTATTCAAAATGAACGAAATAAAAAGCAACAAAAACTTAATTTAAATGTCCGACAGAAAATTTTCAAAAAGGCAAAAAACACAAAAGAGGCAAAAGCAACAAAAATCCAAGAAAAGACACTGAGAGGAAAAAATCACAAGCAGACACTGGGGACATCGGTGCGCGCACGCACGCACGCACGCACGCACGCACGCACACACACACACAATGAACCAACAAGACAGAGGGGTAGACAAGGACTATATATACACACAGGGAAACGTGCAACAGGTGAGACACTGAGACAGGTGAGGACAATTACAGAGGAGGGAAAACAAGACTGGAAACACAAGGATGGACTACTACGAAATAAAACAGGAAACACTGAAAACTGATCTAAAGAATAAAACATTAAGAACAAGAGGGAAACACAAACTGAAAACTCACAAAACTGGATTACAGGGGGACAGGGACACTAGGAAGCACAGGGGAAAACTAAATACCCAAACATATCATGACTCATAAAGTGTGTTCTCATCTTGGGTGAACTGATAAACTGATCTCTTAGTATAATAATTGACCTCATTACTAATTCATATAAAATTCACTGATACTGGTGCCAACAGTCAGTTATAGAGTTGGTGGGAACTGTGCAGCAGTGTTTTGATAAAAGATGATTTATTTACACTTTCCAGACATCATGACAACAATCAAACCTCTGATGACCTCAGTTATCTTCACATTGATTCTGTTAATGTTACCCTGACTTTGTTATGATGATGATAATCAGAGGTTACATCAGGCCTCACCAAAAACTAAACTGGATATAAAGTGTAAAATAATGCGGTCATTGTTCCTCCTCATTCGGCTCTTCATCTGTATCTGGACAGACTGACCTTTGTCAGGATGTGAGTGCTCAGTGCAGCTCTGTGCAGCAGAGATGCTGACGGCTAATCTCCACAATCAGATCCAAAACTTAAGAAACTTTTGGATCATTTTGACTCTTGAATATCATCAGTGAGATGTCCTGAGGGGTTCAGCCTTCAGTGTGGCCACCCCTCCTCTCTGGAACTCTCTCCCCTCTGAGATTCGCTAAGCGCAGACTCTTGACTCTTTCAAGTCTGCTCTGAAGCGACGCTTGTTTATTCAGGCTTTTGGGATCTAGTTAGGTTTTTTTTGTAGTGTGTTGTTAAGCGCTTTGGGTATCTTGAAAGGCGCTATACAAATGAAAGATATTATTATTATTATTATTAGATGATGTTCCCTGTTTCAATAACCCTGTAACTGTACCTGTAATGCAACTAAGAATGAAGGTTGGAGAAACATGAGTTTGATGAGATCTACTATAAATATCTATGTTTATTAAATGTAGAGAGTTTCAGTGTCTCTGCAGATGTTCAGTCTGATTACTTCCTCTTTAGCTGAGGAGGTTTTTGTACGACGCTTTTTCACTGTGTGAGTGGGTAGCTGTTACGCTGCTGACAGTAATAAACTCCGGCGTCTTCAGTCTGGACTCCTCTGATGGTCAGAGTAAAGTCTGTCCCAGATCCACTCCCACTGAAACGATCCGAAACTCCAGACTGACGAGTTGAAGCTGAATAAATCAAGAGTTTGGGAGCTTCTCCAGGTTTCTGAAGAAACCAATCAAGATTAGTACCAATGCTTGAACTGGATTTACATCTGAGAGAAACAGTCTGTCCTGGAGGAGAAGACTGAGCTCCAGGAGACTGAGTCATGGTGATGTCTCCTGATGAACCTGAAATATAAGAAAAAGAGGAAAAGGCTATTCAGCGTCCTCGCAGAAGACGTCAAATGTCCAAAAAGAAGAGTATCATCTCTTCAACATGGAGAAGGGAGATCAAAACTGTCTCAGCAGTGATCCTCACCATGAATGAGGAGCCCCAGGGCGGCCACCACTACAATAAGTAACTCCATCATTGTGTTCTGGACGTGTCCGTGTCTCTGAAGGGTCTGGACAACCACCCATGAACTCTGACCTCTTAAGAGCTGAGAGCAGAGAGGAAGGACACATATGCAAACACTCAGAGTCAGTCATCTGAAACTGTCCTCTACATCTGATTGGAGTCTCTCTCTAACAGCTTTGACAGCATGAAGGTTTCAGTCTCACATTCACTGATGATCCTTTGGCCTTCACTAAACAAGTGCAGCAACATGATCCTGAAGGTTCATGAAAACATGATTCAGTTTTTATTGTTTCAGAGGATGTGAGTGAAAAAGTTTGAGTCTGAAAAACTTTTTTTTTTGTTATAGTAGATACTGACAGTTTCATATAGAAAGACAATTCTTTGTTTTTGACTTGATTTTATGATAAATGTCTTGGTATAAATATCTGCTTTACTTGAACGGGTCATTTGAGTGTTTTCAAATGTTGCTGAAAGACCTTC